AAAAAATGTATAAAATAAAAAAAATAAGGTAGCCACACAAAAGGAACAACAAAAAAAAAAACAATAAGCACACATCATAAAAAAAAATAGAAATCTGTCAAGCTGTCATGAAATATCACCTGTCAGAAGGCAGAGACAGAGTCTCCAATGGGCATACGGTCACCATAAACACTGAAAAGAAAAAAAAAAAAAAGGCCACCAGGTTTTATCATCAATATAATAGACAACGGCTGGTGTTTTGCTTGTCTTGAACACATCGGAGTGACTTATAGAATCCTACTCTACACTGAATTCAGGTCAACTTTGTAATTTCATATGGTGTAATGTTTTGATTTTTAAATATCATATTTTATACTTCATAAAGATAGAACCAAATAACATGGCTCTTATTTCCTTTTTAAAGGCACTAGTATGCTGAAGATGGGTCTTTATAGTTAAAATAATCATATTTTTGAAAAAAGCATATACATTGACTGTGACATTTTTTATGGTCAGAATCTTTATTTCATCCCCATAATCTAATTAACATGGTATCTTTTAAAAAAAAGAGAGAGATACCTTTCGCTAGTCCCTAAACATAAGTAGTTGCTTGAGGTGTCTTATGAAAATTCACCAATAACAATAATAAATTTGGATTTTCCATGGCTGGAGTCAAATGGACAATGCCAATGTTAGCTAAATAATGTGGCAATTAGATGGAGTATGAGTTTTAGGCAGCTCCTTTATTGACTATAAACAGGAGTTTTAAAAAATTCATTTTGAACATGGAATGTTGCTTTCTACCAACATAGCAGGATTAATATAGTCAGTACACTGACCTTGAGGTCTTATCATACTGTCAAATGGGTTCCCATATGAAGTAACATGGTGGCTAAAGTGTGATGTGTATTTGCTTAACTTAACTTGGTACATAGTAAATGCTCAATACAGCAAGCGCTCCTCACCTGTTTGGAGGAGTTATCTTATTCAGCACCATAGCAAAAAACCTCTAACCTCATTTAAAGATTCCCTTAGTCTGGTCCTTTTACCTTCAATACTATAACAAAACTACAGTCCACAGGGAAGGCCGCAGGGGAATGAGCTGGTGTAAATTGCCAGCTGTGATTTACAATTTTTTAAAAAGTCCAGGCTCTCTTAAAACTTCCAAGTTGATTGTTATGGTATTATCTTCCTTTTTCTTTAATAAGAGGAGCTCTGAAATGTATTGCAGGTGAACAAATAACAAAAGTGACAAATGTTGGAGCCTTTTACAGTTAGCTGAACACAGAGAATGAGGTATGATCAAATTTATGCACATTAGATTGGCTTTTTCTTGTAACTAGCTGCTCTTACATGTTCAGAGCCATTTCTTCTAATCACTCTTTTTGTCTTCTGGCTATGTTTTATCATTATCTACAAGTTCAGTAAATGGAGCATTCATATTTCATAGCTGATACTCAATGAATCAAGACAACAGTATTAGAAAGAAAAAGAAACAACAAAATGTTAAGCCTCATATTTTTTTATAATACTGTGCATCATTTCCAAATCAGAGATTTCTTAAAAAAATACCCCTTCAAATTATACATTTACAACGATCAAATGACATCAAGTTTGCCACTTGGCTACTTGGATTTGGGAGAGGGATGGTACAGGCTGGCAGGAATTCACAAAATTAAAATCTATCTTTTCAAACCAAAAGAATCATATACATGCATTTCTATTTCACACAGCCTACTTTCCTTTACAATCTGCTGATCAATACTGATTTTTAAACGTTGTATATAAATTTTTAAATAACAAGGAAAAAATAAATATGCTTTATTATATAAAAACATAGAAATCTGTACTGCTCAAAATATTCAGATAATACTAGACTTGGCGGCTTAAAATTGTGTTCAGGAAATGTGGTAGTGATATTTACAGTCTTTATTTTTGCTAGAGAGATGCGCATTCAGGTGATAAAACACTGATGTCAGACATTTTCTCTTCCTACCTACAAAAGCTGCAAACTTTAATATGAAAATGAGGTAGACACAAAATCATAATTTGCCAGGCAGAAACAAAAGCACAGTTCCTTCATGAGCTCATAAATTCTCATTATTCAGGTTGACAAGCATTATTCCTAAATGGCTAAAGCAAAACTCAGAGAACACTTAGGTTGATCACCAAAACACCAAACAAGCAGTTTCTCCTAAGGACAACTGCAGTCTCCGAGGTGGTCAGTGAGCAGTTACACACGGCAGTGCAAAAAGGAACCGATGAAGGCGATCTTGGGTCGGCGCATCACCCAGCAACCTTTTTCACTTGAACCACCTTGGCTGAATCAGCTTATTCTAGAGCAGACGGACATGTGCCTGCACTTAGTCTGCTCCCCAAATGCAGAAGCCCACAGAAAGGCATAGCAGCGGATGAACCTGACCTCAAAAGCAAAACATGACCAGAGAGACTGCAAAGGACACAGAAAAGGCTGAATTTGGGAAGATATTTTCACAATCCCGAATCTAAATCTGCAATGAGTTGAGCTAAAGCAGAAGGGTTTAACATTACTTCTAGGTTCACATAAGCTTCATTTTAGAGCCTGTCACAGCCACATTGACAGTGATTTGGCATTTCTTTGCTAAATATTGTTGCTGAGTCCATTGCTGAACTAGGCTATCTCCGTTTTGACCTTGGAAAAGGCTTACTCACAGCAGCACTTGGTCTGAACACTATCTCCGGTGTGGGAGGGCTGGGGAAGAGAAAGCAGCCTGGCTGAAGGACTAATTGCACCTCTGTTTTCTAATAAATCTGGTTTGCTTTCCTGTTGAAAGCAATGTTAAGCGCCTCAAGTATATTTTGTGTCATTGCTAATCTCATTGTCTGTTTCAATGATGCAGCACCACAAAAGTGGTTTTAAGGTTATTAACACAATTCACTGAGGTATGCGTACATTTAGAATTAATAAGGAATTGTACCAAAGCATCTACACAAATCAATATAAAATTAAAACCAAAATTCTACAGTAACAATCTGAAATATTGTTCCTTCCCATACATATTTATGTAATATATTAAAATGTCTATATTTAAATAAAATGCTTCTGATTTCATTTTACCAAATATCACAATGAAAGTCTTGCAGAAGTAGCCTTGTTCCTAAACTGTAGTGGCATTTGAATATATGTTGCAGTAATGATCACTTTACAAAGGGAGCATCAAAGTAATACAAACAGCAAAAATATTTTTAAAACCCATGAATTTGCTTCTGTGTATAACAGAACTTTAGGCTTTCTCTCTCTTTTACTCCATGTGTCTTTTAAGAAAACTGGGTGCAGACCCAAGAAGAACAGCTATAGTTAAAACAAACCAACTTAAAAGTCTTTGGTTAAAAGAATCAGCAGATGATTTTTTTTAAACTTAAGCATTTAAGTCCTTAAAATATCTGTGGGGAGGTTGGTGATCCTGTGTAAAATATCTTGAGCTGATTTTAGAACATGTTCAAGGAAGAAAGTGCTGTGGAAACTAGTAGATATAGAATGCATGTATGTATACACACACATGCACATGTGAACAAACACACCCTTTCAGGGATAGAGGAATATCTTTGTCAAAAAGAAAGAAATGCAAGCTGGTAGACTGACTGTAATGTAACTGACATGGTGTTACTATCGGCTGAGTGAATAGGGTGAAAATATAATGGGCTCAAGAGGGAAAATTTCAGGAAAAAAACAACAGTTGACTTAGAGAAGTTGGGAGTGTCCAAAGATATTCCTGACATTTTAAGGTTAGCTCTGCTCTTTTTCACACATTCATTTGGGAGGGTGCCAAGATGGCCTTTATAAAATGCTCCTGGTGAATGCCATATCTGACCCAGAGCATTTTTGTTAAGCTCTTGAAAAAAATCCTAATCGCCCAAGTCAATAGTACTAGTTCAGATATACTCTCAATTGCAATTTTCAACTTAATACAAAGTACAGTGGTTAACTATGTAGCGTTCTATTGCACACAAAATCTCAGACATTGAAAACTTTGATGCTTACAAGTGCCAACAGGTATTAGTAATGCCACATCCATTATTCTGTTCTTTAGCTGGTTATGGGAATGGTTAAGACTTTTCTTCAGAAACATATGGAATAAATAAGACTCTAAATGTGATTTACTATCGTACTAAATTCAGCTTCAGTGCAATTGCAATTAATGTATTTATAGGAATGTTTGCCCTATTTAAAGGTAACAGTGCTAAGGGTGCCATAGCTCCAGCATCACTTAGCCAAAGTACTGTTTTGGCAATGCAATCCTTCTATTGTAAGAGCTGCCCCAGAAGTTTGCATAGTACATATAGTGGCAAACCTGTCTTATAATGTCAGCTGCTAGATAACCATATAGCAAAGGAAACATAGGACCAAAACAAAAAAATGGTCTCAAATGAGCTCCTGTCTTGGTGAAAGAGAAAAAACAGTCCAGACACCTTAAAAGGTCATTGAGTCTACGGCTGAACTCCTGTTATTTTCCGAATGATTTCAGTCTATTTTGTGGATACTGCGTTTGTGGTGATTGTGTTGTGAGCTGTACCCAAGGTCACACAGAGGCAAATTATAGTCCCTGAAGAAAAAATTTCTTTGGCCTCAATGAGCAGTGATCTTCTCTCAAAGGTCAAAGCGACCATAGCTTAGAAAAGAAAAAAAAAATATCTGCTACTGAAGTGTCTGCTTCAATCACTTTGGAGCTTGATAATTACACACAATTATTTACTTTCTTTAAAAAAATATATATCTATGGTCTAGTTGTTCTAGAAAAGAAGCTAATTCTTAGCCTTGGCACTGGGCCTGCGTGAGGTACAAATGTTCAGTAAAGTCATTTTGGTGATACAAAAATTACTCTGTTATATGTCATATGAAGAAAAGAAGAGCCTGTTGATAGCACAGCTTCAGTGCATCCTTGTGAGTGTAATTATCTGTCGCAGAGGCATGCCCCAGAATACCTCGGAACTGGTGTGTTAGCTAGATGCTGGTTAACAAATGTTAATAGTTAGGGCCGTACCGAACTCCAAGGGCCAGCACTCCATGCAGCATCTTGAAGACAAGCATGGGTGTTACACTGCTCCCGATCTGGAGGCTTATCGAGCACTTCACAGCTCAGATCAGGAAACCGTTCCCCGCTGGGCCGCTGACAGACAACCAGCCTCGTTCGCAGGCCTCCACCACACAGCTTCGTACACTGGAAGGAGGAAGACATGCTGCAGTGACTGAACAGCCAATGACAAATTTTCCTTTCCTATAGGAACTATTTTTTAAAAATTAAAGTAAAATGAAATAAAAAAATTGCTTAGCTAAACACTTATTACAGCACTGGGCAAAGGCAAAGTAAATCTCTAGATAGAACCAAGCTGAATTACCCAAAGCCATACATGTAGCAGACTAGAACCCTCCACCTTAAAGGAAGGCAGGTATCACTCATTGACAGGTTCCTCTTTGTCTGCCCTGAGGGCTTTTATATGTGTTAGCTCATCAAGAGATGAGTGCATTTGTCCCATTTTATAAAAGGTGCAACTGAGCTGAAAAGGGGTTAAATAAGTTGATCATTATCAATCCAATAGCTAGCAGCTAGGATAAGATTACAGCCTTTTGTTTGAGGCATACAAAACCCAAAATCAAACACATGAAAACCCCTATACCACCCAAGTAAACACATGAAAACCCCTATACCACCCCTATACCATAACCAAGTAAAGGAAATAATGACTTAGCCGGTTTTATTTCCTGGCAACCTCAAAAAGGTTGTCACCATCCTTTGGATATTCTGGGCCTCTAATCTCCAGAGCTTTATGATGTTGAGCTATGTTATATTTGTAGAATCTGAGGATAACTCTGGCTTTCCCTTAAGATGAATAAATAGGGTGGCGGGAATGCTGGATGAAGTTCTAACTCCTGGTTAGAACCCAACTTCTGAGTCAGGAACAAGTTGTATTTCTTGGACAGGACTGTGGTGCTCATGTCCAGGAACAGTGACATGTGGGCTCCCCGCTGTGTCAAGGCCAGATCTCCCACAGAATTTGGAATGATCTGGTCCGTGCTGACAGCAAGCATCCCTGCAAATGCGTGTCCTCTCCTGGCTTCAGTCCAATTACAGAAGCTTAATCACAGGCCCCACAGGACAGAACTTTGCAAGCAGTGCTGGGAAACTCACAATACATGAGTATCAGAGCATGACTCCCTGTTCCTGCCTTTCAGTCAAGGCCTTTGCAATGACGTACTGTCAAGGCAAATCAACAAAAATCTCCATTATGACTGCATATAACTACTAGGTTACGTGTATGAGACTGAAATGTGGACACACAATTTTGATTAGCCCGGCATGAGGACTAATATGCTCATCCATTTCACTTGTCTTTTTTTCCCTATCTTGGCACTGGGGTCTCCAAGATGTTATTCCTCATGTTTTATTTTACAAATTTTATAGTCAAGAAAGAACAACTTTATGGGCTCTCTCTGTGGATTATAGAGTAGAAAAATGTATTCTTGGTTAAGAAACTATAAGACAATAAGCATCCAAGTCCTGCAAGTAATAGTGGCTCAAACCTACATTCAATAATAATAGTAATACAAATAACAGGTATTATTACTAGTGGTAACAATAACGATCACTATCAGAGCAATTAACTTTGACTAAAGGATGTGTGCTAAGCTCCTGAATGTACTGTCTCATGTACATCCACAAGCACTGTGAAGTTGGTGCCATTACTGCTCCCATTTATAGATGAGAATACAGGCATTTGCAAAGTTACATTACTTGCCAAGGTCACAAAGTTTATAAGAGCCAGGGCTGGGAATGGGATCCAGTTTTTTTCTGGTCCAAAATACTCTCCATCTACTCTCCATCTGTTGTAGCAAGCGACTCTCAAAAATTAACAGCTGAAGAATTTGAACAATATATATTCATTTTTTTTGAACATTAAGCTAATATTCACTTTCACCTTTGCTAGGAATAACAGTTCTTATTTGTTCTGGTTTTATCAGGGATTAAAATATTGGAAGACATTATGCTCTGGGAACAGAGGTGCCTCACAACACCCCAGATTGGAAGATGGCCAGATTTGATGGATTTAATGTACCTTTTTAACCACCTTAAGTGTCCATTTGTAATCAACAGAGGTTGACAATGTAAACTAGAATGCATCTGTATTCTTGTCTGGTTTCCCTCTTTTATGTATTCAAACTGTGTCTAGTTGGTCATAAATACACTTCACATTAGTCCAGAATTAAGACAGATGTCTTAGGTTCAACCAAATCAAGAACCTTCAAGTAGAATTAGTGCCTCTTCCTTAAACTATGAGCAGTAACATGGTAAGTCTGGCAAGATCACTCTGTTTACCCAAGGACATACAGATAAAGAGTTCACTCTTACCTCTCCCCAGTTGCCATAAGCCCACTGAGGACAAGGGCCAGACTCGCAGGCTCTTTGCTCATCGGGCTTTATTCTCTCCACGCAGTCACTGGCAGTGTATCCATTTTCATCCTGACACACCACCACACGCCTCTGGGACCCACCAGCACAGGTACTGGAACACTGAACACATCAGACATCAGTCAACAGGTTAATGCCCACCCCAATCTCTATCTTAATTATATAAAAAGCAGCCAGTTGGAAGGTTGGAGGCAAACATGACAGAAACCATCAAGTCATTCACAATGAGCTATCATGAGAACTTCCCTCTTGTGGGATTGCTTAATGTAAAGGTCTTATGGCCACGCAGAGGCCAGAAACGTGGCCTCTCCCATGTTCAGTCAGACACAACCTCCCGTGACGTCCAAAGCAGACTGTTCTCAGAACTGCCTCTGCTCCGGCAGCTCTGGGAGTCATGGGAGTGTTGACCAGCACCTCAGTTGTTGAGAACTCTTTTCTTGTCAAAAGTCTAAGTGATTATTTAGATCCAACATTTGACTTTTCCTTCAGCACAGGGGTCAAATGACATGATTAAGAAATTTCCAGTGGTTGAAACGAAGCTTTCATGTCAAGTCCTTCAGTCACTGGAGGGCTGCCTGTGGTGTCTTTGAGACAGCATTTCCGAGCAGGCAATGTTCTCTTCTCTCCCTTCACAACAGCCTCTTCTTCAGTGGCGAAAGGAGGTGAGATCTGTTCCTTTTCTCTTCTACTACCCCAATGGCCATAATTGAATTCCACATCAACAAACCTCTTTTCAGGTGGACTTCCAATCCAGCACTCTCTCTCATGGTTCTCCCAGAGTTATGTTTGCATTTCAGTTACTTTCCCACGCAAGCTTCTCATAGCTCTCTTATTTATCTACATCTTGAGTGGATTTTTTCCTCTCCATAATTTTCTTATCTTTTGAAACCCAATGTGTTTGCTAGTATCCTTCACTCTGACCCATAACATGTAAAATCCGTTTGCTTATGAAGTAACCATCTAGTCCTCAAAGCAGTGTAATTCCCAAGCATTTTCAAGTCTCGAATTGCATCTGCAACACTGTTTTTGAGTTCCAGGTTCTGATGGCTGATTTGTGCTTTCTATAAAATCCTAACTTAATCAATGTTATTTCAGAACACCTAGAGATACTCCTCCTTGCTGCTCATCTTCTTCCATATGAAGATGTGAATGGATTTTTTTTTCACTTATTTCACTGGGTCTCAGTTCATATCTAGATTATGCTGGTGGAATTACAAATGGTTTTTAAATATATTAGATTTAATGTTAAAATGCAGAATAGGAAAATAGATGTAGGAACTCAGAAGATATTTGGGTAATTTTAGATTTGCAAAAATACTACTTTTATTCTCTGAGGGTTCTGTCATACTTGTTCTAAACATGAAAACATTTTTTTTTTTTTACTTTTAAACAACTTAGTACATAATAAAACTACCAGAGAACTATTATTTTAATTGGCTTTGTTGGGGAAATATAATTTCCCCAATACCAGGAAGGGCCTTGTATCTTGTAAAAAGATCTGTAATGTATACTTTGGCCCTTGCGTTTTCCCCCTGATAATATTGTATTACCTTTCATTATGTCACCTGTGAAGTGTTACCACCCCAATAAAATGATAATCTGCTTGAAAAGATGCTCAATGTCATCACTCTTTGTCCCTGTTATCTCCCACAGTGCGAGTCACAGGATTTACTCTCTAGGCCAATTAAAAGCTTCTGAAAATAACAGCTTTATGAAGCACATGCTCCCCTCCTTCAACAGGTTGACAAGAGCAAGGATGGACACCTGATCAAAGGCCAACCAATCCACTAGCTCCCCAGTGACCAATCAGATGCATCCTACTGAGAATCAGGCCCAAGAGGTGGAGGCAGTGCTCAGCTGAGTACAAGCAATTGCACTGCATTCGTGGGCTATTGAACCCAGGCCTGCTTAGGTGGGCACACTCTCCTAGACAGGTGAAATGTTGTGTTTTTATTTTGCCAGGTAAAATTTTATTATTCTTCATGATTAACAGAGATTCTTATTTCCACATCCATGTTGCGGAATTTCATGCTGGACTTTTCCTATCCTCTTTAGATGACATATTTTTCTAGGTATACATTTCTTTGAACAAATTCTGCATTTATCATTTACACAGGACAAAACCCAGGGAGAATGGCCTTCAGAGAAGCAAGAGGTGATGTTTTACTTGCCTGCTTAGTATAAATCCCATTATACCTGGCAACCCAATTCTCCTTTAAGGAACCATCCCTCCCACAATGGATGCCTCCTTGGTGAGACTGTCTATTAGGAAACTTTGCCTTTCCCTGGTCCAGGAGTTGGCAAGTAAGAACAATCTGAACCAAGCAAACTTCCTTGGAAATTTGAATCCTAGAAGAGTAACTCAATGGTTGTTGAGAGTTGAAAGGGATTAATTAAGGCAGAAACTCCTGAAAGAAATTATCCTGTGTTTACCATTCTATCTAGATCAGGAAGTGACAAACCACAGCCCAAGCACCAGACCTGGCCTGTTACTTTTTTTTTTTTTAACATTTATTTTTATTTATTTTTATACAAGAACTGGGGTACAGGTCAGAGGTGCGGGAGGGTGAGAGAATTCACCAGAGACGGAGCAGGGAGTAGCGCAGGAAGATGGACAGAAGACACTGCTGAGGAGAGCAGCAGGCAAGGCAGGAGAGGTCTGCCACACCATGTGGGTTTCTCCCTGGCTGGCCGGGAATCGAACCCACACTGCAGAGGCTGTGGACAGCTTCACAGTGCTGTGCTCAACCCGCTGCGCCACTGGGGAAGCCCCCTGTTACCTATTTTTATAAATAAAGTTTTATTGGGAGAGTCACACCCTTTACAGTCATACTTAATATATATTGCCTATGTCTGCTTTCATGCTACAACAGCAAGTCTGGTTAGTTGAGGCCCACACAGCCAAAAATATTTATTATCTGATCATTTGTACAAAAAAATTTGCCAACCCTTGAGCCAGATCCTTGAAGATTTTCTTGTCTCTTACTCTGCTTGTACTAAATGACATTTTTATTTGTTTGTTTGGCTTTCAACTGAAGAGTCAGTTTCTTTTCTTTGGCTTGTGACAAGAGACCCCTAATTGCTAACACATAGAAAACATCACACAGTGTTCTTCTAGTTTATGCAGACATGTAGTATACAATGAGGTTCTTGTTCCAGAATCCACAGAAAACTGGATTCTCATTCTCTAGAATTTATGACTCAGGGTTGCCTTTTCTGCCACAGTAGGCAGGAAGACCACCTATAGTTTGTGTACACACTGTGCACAGATGCACGTACATCCACATTCTGGGGGAAGGTCAGGCACATCAAGCTAGGATTGAAAAAATTGCATTGTTCAGCCACATTTAACTTATAATCCCCCCCCCCCCAAATACAGGCAAAATGGGGAAAAGAATGGTTTTGTAATTGCTACAAGAAGGTTTCTGAATACCTCCTAATTGGGGATTCTACAATTCTCATTCAATTTGAAAGGAAAGCATCATCCCCAAATCTAGTACTAAATAAGAATGACTTTATGATTTTTCTTTAAAAGTTCTAGTGCTATTATTTTAATAACATATGTGAGATTTGAAATGTTCTTAACTTGAAAATTCATGGGACACTCAGTGATTATCACCCTTGGTCACCCTTTTATTTCTCAAAATCATAATCTCTTCTAACCTAGACAAAAGAAGCCTCAAAAGGGAAGCAAGCAGTCAGAATGAGATGCAGAGGGTCCTCGGTCACTTGGCAGAGGTTTTGCCTACAACCAGCACTTGCAGTGTGTAAATGCTCAGTGGCTAATCAGTATTCACAAGAAAGTAAATGTAATTGACTGAAACATAACCACAGTGGAAACAGGCAGATTCCTTCTATTTTTTTTTTAACTCCAGAAATAATTAAACACAATTAGCAGTGCTAGGAGGGAACTAACAGTAAACAATTAAAAAGAAGACCCCTGAGTGATTAGTGAACACCTAACTTCCACACCTCCCCAGGTCCCCGGTTACTGTGTCCTCCCGCACGTCCATCAGACAGCTCTGGAATTCCACAGTATTATTAATTTGGGGGAAATTATCTCAGGTAAAATCGAAAACATTCAAAAGCTTATTTTCCCTTTAAAAATTAAATTATCTTCAAGGCCCCCATAATTTGAAGGACAAAGATAGAAACAAGAAGAAAGATAACTGTTGACTTTTATTAAGTTCTCACTCTGTGACAGGCAGAGTGCAAAGGATTTAATTTGCATCATTGCATTTAATTCTTCCAATGACTCTAGAAAGCTGGAATTATTATTATCTGTGATTTATAGGTAAGGTAACTGCAGCTTGAAGACCACAGGGAATCTAAGACTCCAAAACCCTTAGATGGATAGGTATCGCCCTCAGCGTCTATGCGCATAACCATTAGGGTTATGGTACTTCTTTAAGTACAGATTTTACCAAAAGTAATGTTTCCTCCTATGCTATGACAATAACTTATGACTACAAATTATATAGCAACTGTGCCACTTGGAGACTACACTTATCTGGAATACTGCAAGAAGGAAAATGACTTCCCTTGAGTGTTCCCTTTTGGAAAAATGACACTGTCCATTTAACTAGTCTCCAGGTGAGCGCTGCCTTCTGCAGACAGGATGTGATGTCATCACAGGAACTTGCCACCCAGCTGGCTAAGTCCTCCCCCAAGCAGACAACAGCATGGGTCCCCCTTTTCAAGGGTAACAATTAACCCAAACAAATGCCAATGCAAAATATGAATGCCTCATGAGAAAAAAAAAAAGTTCCAAAGGTCTTTCTAGTTTGTATTCCCTCCCAACGCTATCTCAAGTGAAAGAGAAGAAAGCACATTAGGCGAAGACCTCAGTGAATACTCACTGCTCCCCAAGGGCCAGTCCTCCACTGGTTTCCACCCAGCACGTGGGTGCGGCTTGGGCTGGGACTCCTGGGACGATAATCTTCATCTTGGAAAGGGTGCTGAGCGAGACCACTGTCTGGGGTCCTTTGAGGACATGGTGACATTGAACAGTCCTGGTCCGTTTCTGGGATATAATCTGGGTCACACTCACTGTGATCAATCACATGGTCACTGTAGTTGACACACACGACTTGCCGGGTGGCCCGACCTTGCCCACACGTCACGGAGCACTGTGGTGAAAGTTCAGAAAGGGAAGAGACTGGTCATGTGGTAGTGACAAATTTCTGAATGCGAATTATCCATAAATGGCCCATAACTCACCAGGTGCCTGAGGCCAAAAATCTTGGCAATATCTTTGCCTCTTCCCTTTCGTTCCCAACCTATATCTATTTCATTGAGAAATCCTGTCAGGTTTAAAACTCACAATATGTCCCGCCCGATCCAGCCATTTCTCACCATCCCTGCTATAACCGCCCTAACAATTACCTTGTCTTGCCAGGACTACTGCAGTGGCCTTTTGGCCTGGCTCTGCTTAAAGTGCCCCCCAAACTCCAAGTTTGTTGTGCATATATCACAAGCCATGACCCATGCGACAAAGGTTAGCACATGTTGATTCATCTGGTGACTTGTCAACTCACTCTGAATTATGTCCAAAGCACAAGACCCTTTATGAAGTGGCCACTAGCTACATCTTGAACTAATCTATTATTGTCTAATCACTTAACTCCTGCCACACTGGTCTTATGGATATTTCTTGGGCATGCCAAGGTGCCCCCATCTCAGGGTCTTTGCATCTGCTATACCTTTTGCTATACAACATGGACATCCATGGGGTCCATTACCTCATTTCATTCTAGTCTGGTTCAATGCAATAGTAGGCCTTTTCTGGTCAATCTGTCTGAAAGTTCACCCCATTTTTCTTCATGCCATTACATGGCTTGACTTTCTTCTAGTACTAATGAGTATCTGATTAATCATCTACTTCTTTATTTGTTCACTGACAGGAACCCCCACTGAAATAACCTTCATGAAGGCAAGAATTTTATTATTTGGTGTCCACTATTCTTTCTATGGTAGGCTTCACAAACATCGGGTGAGTAGACAGATGGGTGGACAGATAGAAGCATGGACGAGTATTTGGGGGCTCAGGCATGAGAATGAGATTATATACCATTTATCGAGCACCTTCTTTGTGCTAAGCATTTAATATGTTTCTCAAACAATCCTCCCAGTCACCTTCTAAGGCTGGTGTTCCTTCTGGTCTTCTTTTGATCTTTAGAAGAAACTGAGATTCAAAGACTTTAGCCAGACTGCTTCAAGGTCATGCAGCCAGGAAATGTCAAAGGCTACCTTTTTTGTACATCTCTGAATCCATGCTTCAAATTTCATTTATATGATATCTACTGCTATATTAACCTTTTATTCTCTTATGGGCTCTCATCTGTCCTAAACTATATATTTTCTGGAATTTTCACAAGGCAGAAAGCTGGAGCTGCCTGTAAAAAAGAGGTCTTCCTCTAGTTATAAAAGCTCATAGGGCCTCCCCTGGTGGCACAGCGGTTGAGCGCTGGGCTGCAAAGCTGCCCGCAGCCTCTGCAGTGCCGGTTTGATCCCCGGCTGCCGGCTGCCCAGTGAGGGTCCCACATGGGGCGCAGACCTCTCCTGCCACGCCTGCTGCTCCCCTCTGCAGTGTACTTCGGTCTTTCTGCCTGTTCTGCTCCCCGCTCTGGCTCTGGTGAATTCTCTCACCATCCCCCCTCCACGCTTCAGACTGTACCCAGTGCTTGTATAAATAAATAAATAAATCTTTTTTTAAAAAAAGCTCATAGATGGCACTTGGGGTGCATAAGAGGTTGGGTCTCTAGCACTGAATGAGGAGTTCCACTTCTTGGTGGGGAAGCCAACCGTCACTGCACATTAAAAGACCACAGGATGCAGGAGGCACCCAGACTCAAGGTACCACTTTCCCCTTCTTCTGCTACTCTACAAGCCTATTATGTTCTGACATGACTCAAAAAGGTTTTCCAATCAGCCCACGAGGAAGGGTCTTAAGAAGATTGCAAATACAGGTTTATATTTAAGTGCATTTCTTGCACATATGGCCAAGACTAAATCAGCTACATATATGAGACACAGGATAATTCAAATCACTAGCGTGTCTAAATCTAAAGTTAGTAGCAACTGACACTTGGTGCTAGTCACCCCCGTCCTGTGCACCCATCCTCTCCCAATCTCGAAGATGCCATCTGCTTACAGAGCTCCAGTCCAAAGCCTTCCACTGCCCACAGGGGGTCACAGAACAGTCTTCTCTCGCCACTGGTCTAGGCAGGGTGGCACAGGCGCTTTCATCAGCCACAGAGCCATCCTCGTCCCGGCAGCTGACATATCTCATCCGGGTACCTTTTCCACAAGTGGCTGAGCACTTGGTGTTGGAGTGAAATAATGCAGATTTGTTATTTGAAATAGTTGTGCACTGGACAGAAACCCACTTTCTATAGTCTTTCCAGAGAATATCCACCTCCCCATCACACCCTCTCGTTCTATTTCTTACTGGTGTCCATGACCCAAATCGCCACTGGACTCTTGGCACACTGTGTGTGTTTCTTGCTTCCGGGGCTGCTGGGGGTGGATGGCAAGGTGGTAATTCACAGTCCTAGATATGGGCAGGTGGAGAAAAAGCTAAAGTTACCCTTAATTCAATGCATACTTTAATGGTCATGTTGTATAACAAATACAAGGGCTAAGAATTTTAAGACCCCATATTTCTGTGTGAGTTTTGGACAAATTACATGGCATTTCTCAGCCCTAATTTTTAAACTGCAAATGGGATTTAACCTTAGTCACTATAAGGTGTGTGTGGCCTGCTACATAAAGGCCAGCAGGTTACTTAATGATTTTTAAAACCTTATTCATTACTTATTTGTGTGGAAAGAGAGACAATGTTATAAAATGAAACATAAGTTGGGAAAGAGCAGGGTAGCCTTTAAAATTATTGTTAATATTTTTAAATTCCAAAGGCCAAATTATATTCTCCCATTTCAATTAGTTTCCTAATCAGAATTCGTTAATCATGAACTTGGATTTTTATGTATATAAAGGTAACTCCCAGAGCTCTGAAGTTCAAATCTAGATATAAAAGATGAATTCAATATTCCTGTGCCTGGGATTTCTATAACACCTCTCAATCACTCACAGAAAATCCCTATAATGAACTGAGATCATCGATGTGTAGATAATATTCACAGTTTCACTGATGGGAAAACAGAAATACACAACTGCTCACATCATGTCCAACCTCAGGGGTTAGCAAATATTCTTTGATTTAATGTCATACTCACTCAAATCCTAAGACATACCAGGCATGGTGCAAAGCTCTGGGACTTGGTGCCAGACTTACTGAGGCATCCTTGACATTGGGGAACTTTCAAACCAAATAGGAAATCTTGTTACTTGGTTCCAGACTTTGCCTGTTTCTCTACCCATGGTCCAAGCAAAGCTAGAGGGAACCTTTCACACAGTGGAGAAATGACTGACAGGCTGCAGATGTGGGAGCTGCCCACAGTCAGTGGATATTACAGAATAACTGAGAATGTAAGTTTTGAATCTCTTAAGTTTCGAAGGCCTTACTTCATGCTGGTTTAGATGTCACAGCTGACATTTCCCATTTATCATGTGGTGGTTTGGAACATTCCGATAAAGTAATAAAAATAAAGATGACACAAGTCACAAGTGGTGTTTGGCTAATTGATCAGCGATGACAACATGAACAACATCGCCACGTTCATTTAGTTTTTTGACACTCTTCATCCATCAACAACACATGTTGAAATGTACCAGACTGAGGGTGCTCAGAACCAAGGCAGCACATTGGCTGCAGGACGTCATTGTGAGAGCTCTGAGCACAGCCTGCATTCAAGTCCTGTCTTCAACAGTTAGTAAAGCCAATGTGCATAAATGATGCAAAAATCAAGGCCCACATGGAGGAGCATGTTGGTGAATCACTATCAGTTGGCTCTCTTTAGAAAAAAAGGCATGATGTGTATGTTTGTAATATGTACTTACACACACATATTACATGCACATAGGTATCTACATTGTGTGCGTGTATATGGTGTATATATGCTGGCTTATTTATGTATGGATTTAAAGTGTATGCAGCACACAACTAACATATAACAATAAAATACAGAATCATTTAAGTTTCATATAGCTGATTAATTCTTAGAGAACACTTTTGTTGACTTTGCTGAATTCTTGACTCTGTTGCCAAATTATAGTTATAAATAAATGCTGAACAAGTACAGTTCTGAGTTGAATATTAGCTAAGGTATTTTGCTTTTTTTTAAGAGGAAGGGGAAAGTAAAGAATTGAAGATGTATGTCAGAACTTCACTCATTCAATAATAACAGGAATGATTTCTTTGCTGAACCAGATAGTAATTTTCAAACGCCAGAATATTTCCTTACTCTTGTGTTATTTACAAAGCAGTGGCTCTAGACACCAGAGTCTCTTAAGCACAAACTTAATTATTAATATTTTTCTCTATCACTTTCTTAAATCTAAACAATGAAGCCAGAGTTAAAGCATTTACTGATTTCCGTGCATAAATAATCCCACCAAAGCCAATTTCAAACTACCAACATGATGCCAATGAACACAGAATTGGAAGAGCTGTACAGAGCTCACCACTGTATTGTATATCTACCACTCAGACACATATACATGTAAACAATCTCAAGTCCTTAGATTAAAACAGTCAAGTGTAGTAAAAATAATTAGAATGTTAGGAATATTTATCACCTTAGTTTTAAATATCATCTACTAATTATAGGCTTATATATGCAATTTTTAAGAATGACTATGTTAAACAATTAGTTTATGATGTTCCTGAAAAATTATCAATCAACTCTTACTTGCTGGTACAAGCCAGCTTGGGCACTTTGCTTCTGGAACATACAACACTGTTTGCTAAACTCTGCATTGAAATCATTAAGGAAAACATCTGAGTTCAAGAAAACAATCCAAGCAATCAACCTTTGCCATCCATTAATAATGGGAATCACAACTACAAACACTTCAAACTATCAGAGAAGAACAAAACTGGTACATCAAAATACTAGATTCAAATGTAATAAATCAATAAATCTTCACATTTTAGTTAATTAAGTGATTTATCTAATTACATACTTACATTCCTGTGAAAGGAGTTTAATTTTGACTGAGCTGCTAGGAAGTTGCCATCAATGCCAATCACTGAGTTGAGGAAAGGAACTTACCTGGGTATCTGTTGGCCTTGCTGCTGCATTGCAGTCACTGTCATCCACCACTGACATGTAAGTCCCAATAATGCATTTCACAGCTCTTAGCTGGTATCCCTGTCCACAAGTGACACTGCACTGGAGGAAAGAAATTTTTAAAAAAAAGAGTAGACACAATTCAGTGAATTCTCTCTTTCCCTTACTTTCCCTACAATATTTGATAAAAGCCAAGTGAAAAAAATTATGCTTTGTGAAAGAAGCCAGATACAAAGTGACACATGACCTCTGTCATAGGATTCCATCTATCTAAAATATTTAGAATAAGTAAATTCATGGACATAGAAGTAGATTGTTGGTTGCCAGGGGGCCAAAGAGAAGGGGAAATGGAGAGTAAATGCTTAATGGGTATTTCGAGGTGATGAAAATGTTTCATAACTACATGGAGATAGTAGTTGTATATCTAGATGCATTAAATGCCACTGACTTGTTGACTTTAAAATGGCTAGTTTTTCCTACAAAGTTTCTGGGCAGAGAAAGAAATGGTAACAAAAATGAAAAGACACCCTACTGAGTAGGAGAAAATATAGGTCCACTATATATATCTGACAAGGAACTGATATCCAGGATCTACAAAGGACTCCTATGACTCAACAAAAAGAAAACAAACAGTCCAATCAAAAAAATGGACAGAAGAACTAAACAGGTCTTCAAAGAAAACATACAGACTGCAAAGAGGCACATGAAAAAAATGCTCATCATCACTAATTACTAGGGAAATGTAAATCAAGATCACAAATGGGATACCACCTCACACTTGTGAGAATGGCCCACATTGACAAGACCAGAAACAATAAGTGCTGGAGAGGATGTGGAAGAAAGGGAACACTCCTCCACTCTTGGAGGGGATGCAGGCTGGTCCAGCCCCTATTCAAGGCAGCATGGCGGCATCTCAAAAAATTACAATTAAATCTTCCATATGACCCAGTAATTCCACTCCTAGGCATCTACCTAAAAAACTCAAAAATACTAATTCAAAAGGAAACCTGCATGCCCACTTTCACTGCAATATTATGCACAATAGCCAAATTAGGAAACAATTTGAATGACCCCAAACAGGTGAGTGGATCAAGATGTGGGGGGTATATATATATATAATATATATGCAATGGAATATTACTTGGTGAGTAAAAAGATACACTCATACCATTTGCAGCAACATGGATGGAGCGCAAAGGGATAAGGCTAAGTGAGGTAAGTCAGGAGAAAGATAAATACTGGATGGTGCCACTAACATGTGAAATACAGAAAAGAAAACAAAAGATTAGATAAAGACAAGCTCAAAAACTAACCCTTGAAAGCTAACTGTAGAACTAAAGCATCCAGACAGGGAAGTGTAAGAACAAGAGAGAAAGAAACACAATGGACTATGGTGATGGAATGTGGGTGAGTTGCTGGTGGGTGTTCTGCAGTGATTATACCTGATGGGGAGGATCCTGTAACCTCAACTAAAAGAATAAAAATAGGGCCTCCTGGTGGCACAGGGATTAAAGTCTCAGCACAATGAAGCTATCGCCAGCCACTGTTGCATGAGTTCAATCCCCAGCCAGGGAGCTAACCCACATCGTGCCAGCAGACCTCTCCTGTCTTGCCTGCTGCTCCCCTCAGCAGTGTATTTCAGTACATCTGCCTGTTCTGCTCCCCACTCTGTCTCTGGTGAATCCTCTCAATCCCTGCATCTCTGGCCTGCATCCTAGTTCTTTTACACATCAAAAATAAAAAAAAAAATTAAAAATTAGTCATTAAAAAAGAATAAAAATAAAATGGTTAGCTTTGTTACATGAGTTTTACTTCAATTAAAAAAGTACAATACTAATGTTAGTAAAAAAGCAGAAGAAATTCATAAACATTTTAACATTAGTACTGTATGTGGTGTGTATTTAGGACTGTGTTGGTTTTCTTCTTTATGCTAAATTACAATTTGCAACACTTTTCTGATATGCATGCATTATTCTTAAATATTTTGAAAAATAATTCAGGGCTTGTTTCCCTGAATTGCATGTACAGTCAAAGGAAGAACAAATCTCTGGCTAGGATCGGGTTAGTGTAGACAGGAATAAAAAATAGGCTTTCAGTTCTGAGAGTTACATTCAAATCCACTAGTGATCCTGAGCTGAGGTCTCTTCCTTTTGATAGTCTTAAAAGTTATGCAGTTGTAGACAAAAAGAAGGTAAGATTTAAAGGTAGAAGTGGACTCTCCCTGTTTACTCAGTGGGATAAGCCATCCTGACTGGCAATGTTGTCTAATGGGGAGGATTCAGAGAACTGTTGATTTTTATCATTTGTTTATGATAGACATTGTGAGGGTGTACTAATAAAACTGCTCTCATTGATCACAAGCACATTGGAAATAGGGACATAAAAGCTAGAGAGCCCTAGTAGCTGTGGTCATGGCTGGACTGGGAGTAGGGAGAGTCATTCTTTAAGAGATTATTAAGTGACAGGAGACTGATGCTTTGCTTTTCCTGGGAACGCAGAGTGCTACTTAACTAGTACCCAGAATGCTTTTGTTTCTATATTAGGAAGGATTTAATTTCAAGAGTAGTGGTTTCTCAAGTGAAAGCCCAAAGGAAACTTTCATTCTCTCCTTTAAGAATGGTTCAAATTAAGACTGGAAACTACAGACTAGGGAACTCAGAATAGATTATCACAAAAGCAATGATTCTTCAACCTTTGATGCCAGCAATTCTGTTTGGGTGTCTGACTTATTTATGAGAATGAGCTTTGGAACTGCGACATTGGGAGCCCCCCAAAAAAAAAATCCCTTCCAAATCCCAGTCCAGATTCTCCAGCCAAAGACACTGGCCCCAAATCACATTGTGTAACAGACCCACAGTGGCATGTGAGAAGATAACATCAGTCAGGTCGGAGATCTGTTGTCAATTTCCCCACATCCTCATGTGCTGAAACTATGGCTTTAACCTAAGGATGAAGACATGCATGTGGGTCTGTAAAGGAATAATCAGCTTCAGGAAGGCAAATGGCAGCCCCAGGAAGTGGGGACAGGGTCACAGAGCCCATGTGTGACCAGCGCCGTGGAGGTACAGTTCATGTGGAGGTACGATGGCACCCCTGTGAAGTTCCCCGCCTGGAATGCTTCTCCATAAGCCCTCTCCAGATAAGATGGAAAGAATGTAGTTAAGAACTTTATCATTCAAAATACCTGTCCCCAGGGACCTGCCTGCCAGGACGCACATTCTGGCTGCTGACAGGTCTGCGTGGAGGCCGGCTTGGTCTCGGGGTCACAGATTCTTTCGCTCAATCGATCTTCACCAAACTGACACCAGACCTGGCGGTGCTTATGTCCTTTTCCACAGGTGACCAAGCACTGTAATAAAAAGCACAGTCCATCAAGGTCATTTCTGAACAATGTGTTATGGTCCCTAGGGGTTATTCATTGATCAGCAGGAACAGGTGTGCTCTTTTCCCACCACATTTCCTCTCTGTCTTAGCCTTTTGTAAATACATGAAGATTCATTTGTTTTCATTCATTCATTCATTTCATTCATTCTGTATTTATACAGGTTCTGGGCCAGTTTCAAACAGAATAAACTCAATACCTCCCACCTCTGAACCACAGATTAGCTTTTGGAACACAGGAGTTAAGTGTGGGAAATTCATGAGCAGGCACACCCAGAGTTTTAAATCACAACCATCTAAGGATACTGAGTCAAATGATCTCTCTCTACCTCAATTTTCTCATCTATACAATGGGGATGGCAAGAGTGCCTAGTGCAAAAACTGAAATGATACTAAATGAGAAACTAAACTAAACTAAATAAGAAAAATCCCAGGAAAATGCTTAGCACATATTTATTTCACAAATGTTAAATGTAATCATTATTATTATCTATGCTCATGCCAAGACATAGATAATATGTCAGAAAAACATAAAAAACATAAACATAAAAACATAAAAACTATAATGATCCAAATATCTCACTAGCCAAGGATAATATTAGCACTTTCCTATTTTCTTCCCAGACATCTTTTAATCTAGGGAATGTTGAATCATACTGAATTTATAGTTTGATATTCTCTGCCTACATTTTGTTAAGCATTCATGTAAAGAGCCTTTGTATAATTTAAAATGATACTTTGGTATTAGCTAAGTTCAATTTAAATCCTCAATTCTTTTTTTTCAAGCAAATATGAGAGTTTAAGCTAAGACAGTTTGTTAATAGAACAAAAGCATTAAGTTTGTTGTCAATTTGCACAGGAATCAGACACCTAACCAAATGTACTTGTCTGCCATTCAGGGGCATTAACAGTATCTTTTTATAGATTCACTTTTTTTTGATGTTGAAAGTAAACAGTTGATATGGTGCTTACAAGGATAAGGGAATACCTATAGAAACTACAGCAGGGAAAACCTTGGTCTTTATTAACCATTCTTCATTTGGCCCATAAATGAAGGATTTCTGTTCCCTTTCCACTTGTTCTTTATTAAAGAGAGTGGAAAGAATCACCCTCTTGAGGGGAATCTTACTGGACTTGTTGATAGCAAGTGCTCAAACTGTGTCAAAAAGTGAGAAAGAGGCTCCTCTTTCTTTTTCTGGCTGCCCTGGAGCTACTTGTGTTAAGAAATGGTATATCTGCATTTACTTCATTGGGTTAAGGAATGAGAAAGGCATAAATCTGGACTACTCAGCCTGGTATTTTCTGTTTGCCACCAGCAACTGAACAAATTTATGGTAACTTAGCTATAGGCACACAGAGGAGGGAAGGTAAGGAACCGGAACTTCAAAATCACCAACAAAAACGACGATGGTGAATGATCCAGCCAACCCCCTTGTGCCTCTAAGCTTGTCAGTAGACGCATCAGTGGCAGGTGGAGGACTGAAATTGTTTCTTCAAGGGCATGGAGGAGAGAGGTACAGCAGGATTAGCCTTGAATAGACTAAGGGAGACTCATTGTCAGAGAAGACTCAGGGGAATAACAACCCTTCCATCTCACCTCTGACCAGTCTCCTGATTTCCACTGTGGACAAGAGAACTCATTGCATCTCTGAACGGTGACTTTCTCTTGATGTGTGCATTTGCTGTCATCCAGGACATCGTTTTGGGTGTTAACACAAATAGCCCTTCTCCTCTGGGTTCCACCATCACAGCTTTTAGAACACTGAAAGGATAAAAAACTAAATAAAACTGTTGTTGAATTTCTTAAGCAGCTCACAATCCTGCCTATGCTGGATTGTTTCTTCCAACCCTTAAGAAAGAAACAACTAACCGTAGCCAATTCAGTTATTTCTGGGGTATCTGTTCATGTAGATCGATTTATTTACCAAGTTTTTTTGAGTGAATTGGCATAAGAATATGAGTTCTATTTCTTATGCCAGTGAATTGGCATAAGAAAACAAAACTGGAAATGACCTGAGGTGTATAGAAAAAGTGATTGGTTGATTTGTTCCACCACTCCCAAGTTTCCACATGTCATGCCCATGTCAGACATTACAAATCAATCGTGGTAGTTGTTTTTCCAAAGACGAAATTAAATGGGGCTTCTCAACACAGCCTGCCAGGAGCCACATCAATGAATGAAACTTTGCATCCAAAAAAACACATTTTGAGTGAGAATCAACTTACTTCAGTCCAAGCAGAATATCGCCAGCCTCCTGTGTTACATTCTCCTGAACATTTTTCCTGGTTGCTTGGTTTAGGGTGGCTGCTACAATAACTGTTATCAACCTTCTCAGTCTTCCCATCCAGCCTGCTGTACCTGGCACAGTAGATGTCTAATGTGCGGTAACCCAAGCCACACTGGGCACTACATTCACTCCTGCTGGCGACATGCCATCTACGCAAAAACAATGGAGAGAAGCCAAATTTTTTGTTATGTATCTCTCTTATCTAAAAGAGTAGAAAAAGTTGAGTTCCCTTTACTTCCTTGATTTAAATAGCACAAAATCCAAAGCCACGGTTACTGAAATCCAATTTTAAATCAACATATTCATGCAGTTTTCAAGGCTGCTCATGTATATGGCAGTCATAGAGTGACAGCTAGCAGTTCTATCATTGTGAAGATTCTCCTTTGATACAGTTAGTCTGAAATTCAAACATCCAAAAATGAAAAAAAAAAAAAAACATTGGAATTCAACAGAGCAAAAAAAGCAATTTATATTTAAAAGGTTCATGCAACCCAGCATTTCATTCATCAACGAGGCTGCTTTTAACAGAGCCACTGTTGGATACTCTTCATAAAAACCCCATATGTGGGCCTGTGCCAAGACATGCTCAGTGAACATTCTTTGAATTGATAAAGGAATGAATGGATTGGATGGTCATTATGAATTTCAAGTGTATTGAACTCTATGTACATTATTATGTGCAAATAAAGACCAAGTTCCTTGAAGACATGGACCACAGTCTATACAACCCAGTTACCCATTTTTTTCAAAAGATAAGTTATTTTTCAGAGCAGTCTTAATCACATGGCAAAATTGAGAGGAAGGGCCAGACGTTTACCACATACCCTCTGCCATCAATAGGCATGGCCTTCCCTATTATCAGTATTTCCTACCAGGGTAGATATATTTGCTATAATTGATGAACCTACAGTGACTCGTCATTACCATCCATACTAAACGTTAGGGTTCACTTGTAGTATTTCGTATTTGACAGGTTTGAACAAACATGTAGTATATCATATGGAGTAATTTTACTGCCCTAAAATTCCTCTGTGTTTCACCTATTTATCTCCTACCTCTCCGAGATACACTTTTAAAATTAGTTTTGAGTCTACAAATCTGTGTCACCTATGTGTCCGTAGCATTTACAATGAGCCTTTGTTGGCACACAGTAGGTGCTCAGTGGTTCTCTGATTGCCTCAAGAATATGACCCTTGCTTCTTAATGTTAAAACTTAATAGTCTAAATAAATGAGCTTGAAAGCTCATTGTCCAAAAAGGACAATTGCTTTATAATTTCATGAACTATGAATTCATAATTCACTCTGCATAAATTCACTCTTAATTCTTTACTCAGAAATTGGGTGGTGAGCAGAATATCAATGCCCTAGGAATTCTTTCACCTACACCTGTCTCGGGGAGGACTCAGGTGAATAAGGAGAATGGCCACACACTTATCTTCTTATCTAAGAATTTCTCAAAAATGTCCAAAAATAGATCAGAGTTGATTTACTTTTACACTTAGTATGTAAAGTGGGCCACCGAGATTTTCCATGAGAGTGACATAGTATTTTGGGGATTTTGTTCTAACCGGAATGTGTTAAATGAGGGATTATAAAACAAAGCTTTATCTCATCCTGCCAAAGTTTAATCTGAGCAAACTCTCACTTCCCTAAGGAAGTGAGGCAAAAACGTGGACCAATTCAACAGCGACATCTGGAACTTTCATCTGCCCTTTGATTCTTGGCTATCTTCTCTTTGCCTCATCACCATTTCCTTGAGGAAAGGTTATTTTCCATCTTGGATCAAAAAGGCAGGAATCCTGCTCCCACCCCAGATCTTGGGCTGGAAAAGTGGAATTTCTCTGATAGTCATATAACCCCCCAGAATCTGAGAAGAGATAAATTTAGGAAAGTGTATAAAAAGGTCTCAGCACTGCCTGATGAAAGTTCTTGTCAAAATGCTAGCCTCTGTCATGTTCTCTCCCTGGAAAATATGTTTTGAATTCATCCAATTCACACAAAAACGATTTTTCATTCTGTATTTCAGAAAAACAAAGTGCTAATAAGAGAAAATATGCAATGTGTCTGTGGGTGTGTTGGTGGTTGTACATTTAGATAATTTCAGGAACTACTGAACTGAGCAGGTTTCTCTGTCATTGAACTTCTCAGCGATTTCTGAATGTTAATCAGTATTGTGAATCTCCAGACAGGGAAGAAAATGACCAGTAAGGTCATCCAATCTATACTGCTTTGCCATGGATCATCTCATAGAACTAGTGTTCCACAAACATGCTTTGGGAAAAACAATTTTAGAGTTTGACCAATCAGCACTAATCCTCCCTCCAGCCTTTTAGTTTTGCATACAGCTACTTGGCAACAATTAGTATAAATCACAATTACAGCCACCTTGGGCTTCAGAGAAGACAGAAGACCTTCCTTGGGCATGGTTCGTGTCTTTGTATGTCTTTTCAGTACAACTTAATTTTTTGAACAATCTGGAAAAGTTCAAATGATATAAATATGTATGTTGGCAAACAAACAAGATCTTCTATTTAATTTCAGACATGAGCATGAACCTTTTTATGAGGCTTTATAAGCTAATCCTAAACTCCCCTTTTATTCCTTTTCATTTATAAATTTTACCCCTAAGGTCTGTCACTTCTACCATAGACACATCTATCAAAAAACATGACTATAATCCCTTCGCTGTCCTTTCTTCCATCAGTTGGAGATACTAGCCAGTTTCCTGAACTGCTGTTCTCCTTTGCCCTCAGCAGAGTTTAAAAATGTTTTAAAAGGTGAATTTGTCCAAATGGGGGATTTAGAACAGCATCTTTGATATGCCTGCTGTACGAAATGAAAAGATTTCAAGGCCTGGTGTTACCTAGTTATTGTGAAATGCCTTTTAATAAAAATCAGAGGATGAGTTACAGAATTAGGAAGACTAGGGCGAGGATGCAAACTCTTGACACTTTTCAGGCAGTTTAATTAGACTCACAGAACCTCAGCTTCATTGTGAAATGGGGGGACAGATTCAATTTCACCGAGCTAATAGGTGGATTAAATAAGGCAAGGCATATGTGGCATTTGAAACACATGATATCAAGAAAAATGGCTGCTATCACATAATTCCACATAAACCAATAACACAAAGTTTGAGGAGAGATCTAATTGAGATTTACTGGCTAATTCTACATAAAACTCTCATGAATTTGAGACTACCTTTGTATGCATTTCATTTTGTAAAATATCTTTAATTTTTGTTTTACATCTGAAAGTGTCCAAAGCAGACTAAACTTTGGAGAACATCATATTAACCAATATCATCACAAACTAAATGGTGGCTTATTGTGGAATATGTTTGAAGTGAAAAATATTAGTTTCTCAAAGGAAAGGAACCATTCAAACATTATCTCTACCTTCAAATTGGTGCTCCTTGGGTAAACTTTAAACAGGGCTCTTAAGAAACATTTATTTTATTTATGGCCATGTTCTATTACTCAAAATGCTTTGTAGGAACTTGCCTTTCTTGTGATTAGAAGAGCATGCTTAGTGCTGCAGGCAGGACCTCTACAATATCTGCATTTCTTATCTGAGACCTTGCCAGCTGGGTCTTATTCTGCCAGCGCAGAAATGACAACTAAGGGGACCCAAGTGAGGTAGGGAACAGGAATGGGGCAGAAAACTCCTGGGAGTTATTTTTCTTCAGAAAGATGCCCCCATCCCAGATCTATAATATTAATACCATAATATTATTTTCAGTGATAATATGATATAGAGTTAATCTGAAAATGTCACGTTTCCTAATTTATTGAGGTCATGCTTCAAGGACTCTATCCACCAATTCCATGTTTTCCCCCGACACTTTAATGCAATTAGCTAAGTGTTTTTCTGAAAAGATCATTTGGCTAAAGCAATGGTCATATGAACACTCTAACAAGAATTAATACTACCTAGTCTAAATGACTGCCTTTTAATATCTAAGGTTTTTTTTTTTCTTTGTACAATAACTTCTGTCAATGTTTTCTGACCAACCAAGGAATGAGAAGGTAACACTGAGTAAAATGGAAGAGCAATGGAGTGAAACGAGCTTGGTCTTTGAAATCACAGCCTTCAGGTTATGACTGGCAAAGATGTGGCACTCATGCCATTTCTTTCTTTCCTATTTCCATGACAGACATGACTAATTGATGCCAGCACTCATCTCTCAGAGCTTCTGGAGAGACTTATAATTGTCACTCCAGCACTACAGTCTGCCAATACCTCTTGATAGGATTCAGGATGGTAATGTGGAAACGCCAAAATGCTTAAGTATTCACTTTCTACTTAGAAAGTGAGATTTTATCAAGTTCCCATGCCACTTTATGGCGGTATCAGCTCATCCATACTGACATTTGGATACACAAAGCACTCTTCCTTCCCCCACTAATTTAATATTCAAACATGATACAATCAAACTTGCAGGCAAATAGGAAAACTTCAGAATTTTCTGCCCACCAACTATTTTTTGTTTCAGATTTCATACTTTTTTAAAAGACATAACTGTTTGCCTAACTAGACATCAGCATATAGATTTTTTTAGTTCCTTCCATGACTCTGCCTTAGTGCTCTGCAGCTTTATCTGCATGACAGTTCTTCCATTGGTACATACAGTCTGGGTAGATGCAAAACATTACTATGAGAATGAAGTTCTCTTTTTCTGTTGACTTTCAAATCAAACTTTCATATAATATGTGACTCAATCATAATAACACTTACGGAGTAAGTTGTGAGGATCAAATGAGAACTTTCTTGGCAGGTGCCACATACTGATAGTGACTTTTAATTCTTAGCAGAATAGCAAGAAATCTGCAAGCATATGTCTTAGATAATTATTTCAGAAGGAAGGGAAAATGGTTGAAGTTTATTTCACAGAAACATAAGAGAACTAACAACCAACATGCCTTCCTTTGCTCCTCACTTGTGCAGGGAACCCCCCCTCCAAAACCCTCACAACTCAGTAGTAAATACCATGAGGAAACACTGGCCTTACCTCAGGTCACAGTCTGTGCCACAGGGCTCAGTGATGGGTCCTGGCTGGGGCAGATGATCACATCTTTGATCTGAAACTGTAAGCTGATCAAATTCCCTGGTGCAAATAGGTCTTCGTTTCCTCTCCCCTAAGGGAGAAAAGAAATTAGGTAGGGAAAACAATCTATTCCACTTACATCAGGGTTTGGCAAACGTTTTCTGTAAAGGGTCATAAGTAGTAAGTAATTTCAGTTTGGTGGGCCACTTGGCCTCTACAACAACTATTCGACTCTTCCATTACCAGCCAAAAGCAGCAGCTCACAGAGAGTTCTTAAATAATGATACCTGACAAAGTCCCTGATCTCATAAAAACAGAGAACAGATTAATGGTTGCCAGAGATGGAAGTGAGGATGTGAAACAGGCAAAAGAAATCAACGGGTACAAACTTCTAGTTGTCAGTAAATCCTGGGGATGTCATGCCCAGCATAGTGATGCTAATTGATATCACTGTACTGTATATTTGAAAGAGAGTAGATCTGAAAAGTTATTTTCACAAGGAAAAACTTTACAACTACAAGTAGTGTTGGATATAAACTAGACTTATCGTGGTGATCATTTTGCAATATATACATACTTCAAATCATTATGTTCTATACCTGAAATGAATAGAATGTCATGTGTCCATTATTTTGCAATAAAACTGGAAAAACAAATGAAAAGAACTTAAATTCCCAGCAGATACCTTGGCAGGGCTTGCTGCAGGCTTGCCAGGGTCCATGACTGTTCCAGTAAAACTGCTGGGGTTTGTCGTCAATTGGAACATTGAAAGAATAGCGCACATCAGGGTTGTATAACTTTCCCACCGACAACACCTGGGACGTGCACACAAAATGAAGAGCAGGTTTGCGGCTGGGGACTCCAAGTGGAAGAAAAGCATGGTGGGTTCACCGCCAAGCTTTTACCTGCAGCAAAAGTTCCTGATCGATGCGATCTGTGGAGTTAATTCTTTCCACGATATTGTCGGACCCACTGTACTCGATCATAGCATTCCCAACACGGATTTCCCTTTTGGACATGGTGACAACAAAGTCTCCATTTAGCAAGAATTCACCTTTACTGCTTGATAATGCTGTCAATAAGAAAAGAGAATTTATTCATCTGCTGTCAATGGTTTGTTACTTACAATATGAGAAAGCACTTGGACAGGGAGAGGCAGAGTGCAAAGAACGTGCACTTTGCAGTCACACAGGCATGGGCTCGAATCCTAGTTTTTCAGCTGTGTGGCCTTGGGAAACCACATTCCCACTCTGGATTTTCATTTCCTTAATTCATTTCCTTAATTCCTTAATTCATAAATACTTACCCCTCATGACACCTGCAAAAATCAAGTGAAACACTATAAGGGTTTTAAGTAGCCTGAAGTTTGTTATACAAGTCCCTTGGTTATAGAGTTAGAAGTCTAGTGCTATGATTTAAAAATGCATACCGGGTCCTCCCTGGTATGTCTTAACACATAGGCTAAGATACAACCTATGAAGCTCACTGCAGCACAAGTTCGATCCCCGGTCAGGGAGCTACCCACATGGCGCAGCAGACCTCTCCTAACTTGCCGGCTGCTCCCCTCAGCAGTGTGTTTCAGTCGATCTGGCTGATCTGTTCCCTGCTCTGTCTCTGGTGAATTCTCTCACCCCCTACAACTCTGACCTGTACCCCAGTTCTTGTATGCATAAATAAATAAATCTTAAAAAAATAAAAATACATTCCAATGAAATGAGCGCTTGCAAAATTGGCTCCCGCACAAATATCCTTCTCTATACTAGAATTACTTGAGCCGATTGAATCTTTGTTCATCTACTGTTAGACAGATTGTGAAATTTGAAAATCTATGGCCAATACACACTTGAATGTCCTCCAATGTGAACCACTGCACTGCAGTAGGCCATCTTCAACCTGACCCCAATAATCCTGGCCTTTTGGTATTCACATCCTGTGTCACATCCTATGTCACATCCTATGTCACTTTCCTTCCCAGTACTGACTGTGTAATCACTGTGAAAGTGTGGAAATGACAGAGTATGACTTGCAAAGGTCAAGTCAAAGGCTCTGTGACCTGGCCTTACTCCTCCTTGAATCTCTGGCTGTGGAGGAAGCTGCTGCCATGATGTAAGTAGGCCCAAGGAGTGCAACTGTGAATCCTCCTGCGAACGGCAGCAAATAACTGACACTGTCACCATCAGCACCCAGTGAGGCACCTGGGATGTAAATCCATCAGCCCCAGCCATATTTTTGGAATTGATCACAGTCAATACTGGAATCTTGACCACGACCTCATGAGAGACTTCAAACTAGAAACACTCATCTATGCTGCTCCCACGTTCCTGACACACAAAAGCTGGGAGATGCTATATATTTTTGTTGTTCTAAGTCACTATGTCTTGAGAGAATTTGTTGCACAGTCAAAGAGAATGAACGCACCTACCCAGACCATTCTTTAAACACTGTAATCCTCTCTCATTGCCAGCTCAGACCCCATACTTCTTATCCCTTTTCTGCCTTAAATTTTCTCCCAAATAGTTGATCCACCTTCTCCCCAAATAAGAATGTAAGCCCCGTGAGGGCAAGAATTTGGAGTCTGTTTTACTCAAGATGATCTACCAGTTTCTGCCAGCACACCTGGTAGTGCTCAGTAAGTTCTTTTCTTGGGAGAATGAATGAATCTACTGCAGATCTTGCAAATATTGAAGCAATCAGTGAAATTGAAAAAGGGATATTGGAGAACTGCTTGAATCAAGTGCAAAAATGATGAGCCAATCAGGAACTGACAGAGTTAGACCAGTAAGAAATGGAAGAAAGGGAAAGGAAACTGACAAGGAAGATGAAATGACAGCTGCTTCAGAAGGAATAATTTATCAAGGTGTCAAAAGAGACTACTGGGAAAGTGAGTAAGTCTCAGAAAGTTTTTATAAAAAATGATTTACTTTTCTATTTATTCCTACATTTGAATTTTAAGGAAGAATGTACTACTCCATTAGCATATGAGTATACTGGAAAATGTAAGTGAAAATATTTCTCAATTGTTGTATTTTCCATTCTAAAGACCTGGACATGACTGAAATTAAACCACATTTCTATTAAATACAAGAAAATAGAATAATGTTTTTTCATAACCTGTGATTAATTTCTCAAGAAAAAAAATCCCAATCATATCTTTCCTCCTAGTATTTATTATAAAACTGGTTTTAAGTGCCACTTTGCTTTGTCCAGTATCAATATTGCTTGATAATGGATCCTCCTGACTACTGGGCTTGACATGAAACTGGCGCGCAATAAGCCAGAGTTATTAAAACATTTGGGCGCTGAACAGAATACCAGATAAAGCCTCCTTTACCTTTTTGTAAATTGTGCATGATTATTAGGGACTCTCACAAGGGAATCCCTCAAATGCTCAGGCCATGTATTTAGGTCAGTTATGGAGATGTGGAAATTTAACTCATGGATGTCAAATAGGTTTCATCCCAGGCAGCAATGTCAACCACTTGGGACTAGCTGCTCAAGAAATTTTGCAATTCAAAGGCAGCATCATGTATCAGCATCATTTTAATAACATCTGTCTTGGCTGTGGGCTGGGGAGTGGCCAAGACATCTTCCGGTTTTGCCAGATCCTAACCTATCTTTCACTGATGTGGGTGAGGTGCCCTCTGTCACCGGGTATTCTGGAAACAGCATGTGTATGCAGAAGAAATTTTGAAGATTTAAAGAAAGTGGGTAAATGGAGATTAGTGAGGTCTGAGCTCAAGTTCTGAATATTGTTTGTGGCTTAGTAGCAACTAGGTCTTTGTTTTCTTGGACATATGAACCTCAGGGTTCACTCAGCTTGACACTGTATAATGCAGCAGTTACTCTTTCTAAGGTCAGGAATGAAAGACAGTGAATTCTCGTCCTAATCCAGCACTTCAATCACCAGAATTCTCACCCGTATGACACATCCTGGCTCCAACGAAAGATAAAATGGGGAATTCATTTGAAATGGTTGGGAAGAACACCTCACAGGAAAAAAACTTTTGAAAAGATAACAAATCCTTCACCTTCTTAGCTTCAAATCCCTTGAGAGTCCCTACAAGCTATAGAATTTAATTAAAACTCCTTAGCATAAATGTCCTGTATTGTTTTATAAATCCTATACAGGGCTTATCTTTCCAGCCTTGCCAATCACTCCAACCAATAAACTTCAATATCCAGCCATCTATCTCTCCAGGTCAGATATTCACTTCTCAACATGGAGGAAGTAAGGTGAAGTTGTGAAGCGTGCAGAGGGTGAAGTCAGACCTAAAGGGATTCCAGTTCTTCCCACTTTCCGTCGGTGTGATCTTGGTGAATTACTCTTTCCAAACCTGTTTCTTCCTGTGCACAACTGATTTTTCACAGGATTGTTAAGAGCATTAATCAAGATAGTACATATAAGCTTCAGTTCCTGCCAGATCATAATGCCACAATATACACTGTCTCTTTACCTAGATACCTGATTTGTGGATGAGAAAAGCATGCCTTAAGTATTATTAAAAGACTTTCCCTAGGCCAGGATTAGACTTCTAATCATGGAAGTCCGTCTCCAGAGTCTGTTAACCAATAACATTTTCCAAGAAAGAAGTCAACAAGTGGGTCTCCCCTGGTGACGCAGTGGTTGAGCGCTGGGCTGAGAAGCTGCCCGCAGCCTCTACAGCACTGGTTGGATCCCCTGCCACCCGCGAGGGTCCCACATGGCACGCAGACCTCTCCTGCCGCGCCCGCTGCTCCCCTCAGCAGTGTGTTTCGTCAGTCTGCCTGTTCTGTTCCCCGCTCTGGCTCTGGTGAATTCTCTCACCCTCCCGTGCTTCTGACTGTACCCTGTGCTTGTATAAATAATCTTTAAAAAAAAAAAAGTCAACAAGTGTCTGTTACATGAGTGAATGACTTCATGTATTTCTCTCTTCTGCATAAATAGAATCCAAATATGTTTAGCGACAGATTTTTAAAACTTTAAATATTTTTGCTTTGTTAGATTGCATGAGCTTCTTTGAAAGTAAAGTGATCAATTGACCATTTAAAAATGCACTTCTGCAAACCCAAAAAAGACCCCAGCTCATAGTAGGTGCTCAATCAATACTGCTGCAAGAAGGAGTGACTGATTGAACCTGACATCCATGACAAAGAGAACAGAGTGCTTCCAGCCAATTGACTGTTTTCCTGTTGGTGTAAACTTCTGACACCCCACAGGGTGAGGCCCACCAACCGTGCAAGATGTACGAGTTTCAATGGGTCACTGACTGGAGACTCGGTTGTTTCCGTGGCACCTGAGCCTGCCTCCTAATGCGGGTCCCTTCCATGGTGATGGCACAGTGTGTTGCCAACAAAATCACTCAACTTTTCCAAGTAAGGCTGCATGCTAGGTGCCCAGCTGATGTTTCACTAAATGGGTGGGCGGGATGAGACATCACAAGCCCAGTTCTGTAAATTAAGTGATAACCTAGTTTTGCTTATATTGAAAGAGCAATGATCTATTCTAGGTGAATTCAGGGGCTCCCTTGCCATATCTCCAGGATTCCTCTAGGCTGATGTTGATCTGGGCTATTTCACCCTTCACTGCTTGCTTCTTATCCAGTGGAGGGTGGGTAGGGGAACGAGACAGGAGTCATTAGGTGAAATGAAGTTCCTGCTTTATCTTGAACTGAATCAATTCCTGTCTTCCCATGCCACCATGAATCTAGGGCTAAGTGTAATGGAGACACATATGTATCAGAGAACTGGCTCCTTTTTCTCCTAAAGAGGTATGAGCATGGTGGAAGCTGGCTTTAGCTGTGCAAAAGCAGGACCTTTGACAGGGAGACGTTTTGCTTTGGTACCTTGTGGAAAAAATAGTTTCCGGAAAATACAGTCTACCGCCCACCCCCCCCTTCCCTGCCCCTGCTAATGTGATTAGGGGAGCTAATTTCCTGGGTTGATTCCCCACCCATCTCACCCATCAGAGCTGGACTGCTTCAAAGGCCCTCTCGCCTGGAAATTATTCCCTCACTAAAACATTCGGAAAGAGTATGGTTTGACTGACCTTTAAAAAATATGAGGATCAAGGATGAAGGCTGCTCAGCCCAGGAACAGCTCAAGCAAGTCAGACTCTAGGGTAGGTTTTAAAACATTCTTAGAACATTTGCAGCACCTTTCTGCAAGTTGAGACTAAACATTCACACACACCATATTTGATGACATCATGTTCTTCCTAACATGTTAAGAGACCAATGAAGGGGTCAAAGGCTCTGAGGTTTCAACTTTCACACCCACTGAAACGTGACTTGCCAACTGCCCTAACACACATTTCACTTGCTTGCAGAGAGATTGTTCTTTTCCCAACAAGTGACTTTACTATAATATTTCATTACAAAGCTATCCCTGCTTCAGACTGCTTGTCCCAGATGACAAATCTTCATTTATTTTTCTTTCATTCTTTACAAAGAGATTAAGAAAACTTTAGTGAAGAGCAAAGGGTAATCAGGTACCTGCTCTATGTTGATCGCAGTGAACTGAAGTCACTACTTCGGAGGAGATTATTTTTCTAAGAAGGGAAAAGATAGAGCAGAATTATTCTCCCTTGGAGGAGAAGAAAGCAGCAAGTCAACATGGCTTTTGGCTCCCAGAAAATTAATTTATAAAGGAGTTTGCACGCAATGCTGCTGGATTTAATTAGGAAGCAGCAAGACCACAGCAGTCATGTGGTCAAATTTATAATCAAGGGCAAGAAGACAAATGTTTGACCTAATTTACACAGCAATGGAATGAAAAAGAAATGTGGGATTCCATAATTTGAAGAGGGCCCCCAAGAAGTTTGTTAACTGTCTCCTAAAGTCACCACTCATTTGGATGTTTAGAGCAGGGGAAAGCTGATGCAGCCACTGAGTAACTGATTCAAAGAAGGGATGATTCTGTATCTTCCCACAGTAATCCAATCCCCACTAAATACATAGTCAGGACTCAGTTAAAAACACCATGGGTAATGATTGTTGAACAATTCAACAATCATTTACTTACATTCATCATGTGTAGGCTTTATGTCAGGAGCCAGAGATATAAAGACACAGCCTCTAGACTTAATACATGTGTCCATATCAAATAGATAAATAAGAAACAGGTATCATCTCCACCCTTTCAGTTGCTCAGATTAGAACCACACAGTCATTCACACTGGATTCCTCTTTCTCTCACACACCATATTCAATCCATCCACAAGTCACAAGAGCTATATGTTCAAATGATCCAGAAACTGACCACATACCCATGACCTCCACTGTTCCCACTTGGGGCCAAGTCACCAGAGAGGCTCTCTCTTGCATTATTGCAGTAAGTTCCTAAATAGTCTTCCTGCTTCCATGCACCCTTCCCCCACCATCTATCAGCAATACCACAGCCAGAATGCTCCTTTGACAATATAGATGTGATTATATCAGGTATTCCTTAGTTGCAAATGGCCAGCAGCTTTTCCTGTCTCTAGGCATACAAGCCTTTCAATAGTTACAAGGCCTGAGGTGCACTCGTCCTGATACCTGTTGAACTTCATCTAGGACTCTCCTCTGTGCTTATGCAGCTCCTGTCACACTGGCCTCCATCCATTCGCTGAGTACTCCAAACATGCTCCTATTTCAATGATTTTGCACCAGCTATTCCCTCTGGCTAGAGTGCTCTTCCCCAGAGAGCCTGTTATCTCTCGCTCCAATCCAAACATTTCAACTTCACCGTTCCTACCTCACCCTTATTATCCCAATTTCGCATATGCTTCGAAAAAGACAGCAATTTTTATTTTTATTTTTTGTCCCATTTTGCCCATTGTGCCTGAACAGTGTCTGACATATATTAACTAAGTGAATGAATGGTGAAATGGTACAGAAAATGTCAGGGAGTCATGTATAAATATTTTACTTGATAAACATACTTGACTAAAGGACCATTGTCTATCTGTGAAAGATTTTACACAGACATTCCAAAATACAGATACAGGCTTCTAATTTGATTCAACAAACACTCATTGACTAGTTCAGTATGTCCAAATGTTTGCAGCAAGCCTGTATAGAGGCTAATTCAGGTGAATAAACAGAGTCCCTGCCTTGACATTGTAAGAGAAAGTACATTCATTTTTTCTAGAAATTGACAGCCCAGCAAAACTGCCCTGGTTTCAACTTGATCTGAGTGCCAGCCATTCTACTTTCCATGGCTCAGCAGAACCTGGTTGTGTAAGGTGACTGGCTGGGCCCCTTCTGTCATTACCCCATTCCCCATGTCTTTCTGTTCAATAAAAATGGTTGGACAAATTTCATAATCACTCATGACAGGTTACAGAATGATAAATTGAAGTGGGACTAGACTGAGCAAACTGTTGAAAATGTACACAGAGTTGATGGTGTGTTGTGGCATTCCAGAAATGACATGAGAAAAAAAAAATATTGCTACTGCAGACCCTTTTGAAATGCCCAGGCACAGGGCCTCCCTGGTGGCGCAATGTGTTACGCACAGCACTGTGAAGCTATCTGCAGCTTCTGCAGCCTCTGCAGCATGAGTTCGATCCCTGGCTGGCCAGAGAGAAACCCACATGGCATAGCAGACCTCTCCTGTCTTGCCTGCTGCTCCCCTCAGCAGTGTCTTTCAGTCAGTCCACCTGTTCTGCTCCCCACTCTGTCTCTGGTGAATCCTCTCACCCCCCTGCACCTCTGGCCTGTACCCCAGTCCTTGTATGCATAAACAAATAAATATTAAAAAAAAAAGAAATGCCCAGGCACAATAAAGTCTTAAGTTCATTCACAGTTACAGTTCATAGCAAAAAATTAAGTCAAGTTAACACCTCTAATAAAACATTTGCAAGTGAGTTATCAGCAATTATTTTTAATGACTAAAGGAGAATAATGATTTTATACTAAACTTATAAGACAAGTACTTTCAAAATTTGATTTGCTGGTTTCTATTACCTAAGACCCAGAGTTAATTTCTTGATATTGACTGGTATAACTACACAACTCTTAAATCACCACTCTGAGGGGGTATGCATGAGGAAGAAATAAAATAATAGATTTCAAGATCAATTTCTTTTGAGAAAATACATGACATCTGAATGCTCTCCAATTATGGCAGGGGAAGGGAAGGAGTAGGTGCCAAATAACCCAGGATGCCTGCAAGTGGCAGGGGCAGCTCATCTCACCTAAGTAGTTATCATCCTCTGATTTCCCTGAGAAGCTGTGCTGTCGCACATCAATATTGGTAGCACCAGCTGGAATTCGGACCACAGTATTGTAACCTAAAAAGAATTTAGCAGAAATTCAGTATTTCAAAGAATGGTTCACTTTCTGTAAACATGGCATAAATAGTGGGCAACAAAGGAATATAATGTAATTCTTACTGTTAACAGGAACTTATAACCTGATGGGTAAAGTAACTCATTAAGACTGATTTTATGTTTGATATTTCTGCTTTTACATATTACATGTAATTAGCATTTTTAAAACTTTGACCATTTTCCCCCTCACGGTTCTTAGGGACAGATTCTTACCATAATGTACTGTATTAAATGTTCCTGCAACTGTTTTGCATGAAGAATTATCGCCACCACAAACCCCACATTTATCTCTCCGGGCTTTTGAGTTTAAAACATGATCGCATCCAGCTTGCTTTTAAAAAGAAAACATTTGAAATAAATGGTGAGTATTGCAGAGATTATAAAATGGTGAGTTTCTTTGAATGCTATACACTCAAAATGACAAAAGAGTTAAGTCTCTTTAAACTTGCAAGGGGTGACAACTCCAAATTTTCTAGAGCCTTGCTATGGAAAATGGGATCCTTAGGTCAGCCATGGGCATCCTCAATGCTGTCAGGAACGGAGACTATCTGGCTCCATCCATACCTACTGAATCAGAGTAGATGCTCTGGCAGTTTACAAGATCCTGAGGTCTTTTACCTGTAGATTCACATTTCAGAAGTGTATGAATGAAAGGAGTGAGAAAAATAGCTCAGGAATGAAAAAAAAAAAGTCAGTGAGAGCTGTAGCCAATCAAAGAACTCATGTCCCATCTTGAGGGACTGGCCACTGACCATTCCAGACTTTTGTTGCCATGAAGAAATAGGAGCCCAATGATGATGTTTCCTGAATTTTCAAGAGAAGGTTGAAAATTTGATTAAAGATGGCATCCCCTATGTTTAGATACTGGCTGTAAATAGAGAACAAAGCATGATGGTGGGTTGCTAGAATGAGGCCTTAGGCTGCCAACAGACTCCTGAATTTCCTCACATATCCACACCAGGCTGCAGTGTAGACTGAGGTCTCAGAAGGAGACCTGTAATAATCAGGAGACCAAGAGGACGGAGTTCACTTTCTTTTCCATTTTGTGCCTTTGTATGAACTAGTCTTTAAGGAGACACTCTGCGTGTTACCACAGACTGGACCTTCAAGAAAAAGTGCATATAACTGTGTTGGGAAGTAGGTGAAGGTCTCAGGGGCGTTCCATCACATCCTACCGATCAGGAACTCCAATTTGCCTTGGATCATGTGCAAGACACAAAGAGATCATCTCAGAGTCTGGCTGTGTTTGGAATGATTCCTAACTGCTGAGAACTGCGAAATGGAATCAAGTCTTCGAGAAATCACTGTTCTGATGCTTTATTGTTTGCTAGAGCTTTCTCAATATCCCTTCCACTGATAACAAATAGGCATGTCGCAGGTAGAAGCTATCGTGCTTAAAATCACCAAGAAATCTGAATGAGGCAGTTCCTTCTCATGACATCTTTTTGCAGCAGAGCCATTCAATCCAAAAAACCTGCTGTCAGGAGGCATTTGGGTTTAACTTTAAGCTCAGAGTTTGCAGTAAAGGAGAGTGTGTGTGACTATTAAAATAAATTTTCAAGGGAAGCCGTTCCTGCAGACCACCTCCTCCCCCACGCTGCCCCCACCAAGACTAAAATATCAAGAAATATCTAGAGCAGCGATTGTCAAACGCTGGCATGCATCAGAATCAGGCCAGGCTCCTCTGAGGACCACACTTTGAGAACCCCTGCCCTGGAGCTAGTGCATGGATATTAGCTGCTGCTATCCTGCCATTCTGCCAAACTACAGCTTGGTGGCAAGACAACACGGCGAAGAAACCGCCATGTGGGACTTACCCGGCAGAGGCCTTGGACACAGATATCACTTGTGTCTTGGCCACAGGGAGTTCCATCTACCACTCTGTCTCGGAGCTGATAGTAGGCTGTGTTTCCTGCCACCCTGCAGAACAATTTGCATCGGTCCTTCATCAGAACTAGAGGAGAAACAGGGTGCAAGGTGACTTTCGTGCCTGGATGTCACGCCCACCGCAGGCAGCTCCCCCAGGTACTTACTTCCGCTGTACTTAGGGACCCAGCGCACGTTTGGAAGCAGCCCGTTGATGTTAAAATGCTTGCCGTCAAAGTGGGCGCACTGTTCCTCTCGGAAGTCCCGCTTCTGCTTGAGACAGGGCTCTGTGTTGCAGGACTTAAATTTCATTCTACGCCCCACACAATACTTTCCACCGTTTTTTGGCCTGTAAAAGTAAAGAACACACAAGCTTTACTATAATGTATTTGTCTGTCTGCCTTCTAGGAAAGCAAATTGGAAGGGGCCACGATGGAGGATAGGGCAAGGGTTTGAATTCTGTCTTCAACACCACTAAGGGTAAAACCTCTGGAAGTCACTTAACCTGCACTAGCCTCGGTCCCTCCATTGGCAAAGTGAAAATTGCTATCTGGCTAAGTTGTTTTGAAGACACATGTTACAGAACACAACTTAAAGAGTGTGAAATACAAAGCCTGTAATCTATTAGGCCGTTTATTGTCCTCTTTCTTCTTGAATATTCACTGAAGTCCTTCAATTTTAAAAATGTAGCAGAGAAGAGGTTATAGATGCGTGTTCTGGGTCTACATCCCTACCGTGACAGCTTCGTGGAGACCTTCCTAAACTCATTCCATTCCACTGTCATCCATTCTTTCCCTCCCCACCCTCTCTCCAGACAATCTTTGTTTCTGTTTGCTTTGTTTTATAAATAAGATGCAATAAAGAGAACACACCCATGTTCTAAATAGGAGAAACAGGAGAGAGTGTACTGTTTCCATTAACTTTTGTGTGACAAGTGTATGGAATATGCGTTGCAAAGCATCTTAGTGCAAATTTAATCTCGGCATGCAACCCACACATGTATTTTCCAGATGTGACCCAGAGAGTAAATCAGACAACATCTCCGGGCAGTCAACAGCTTGCCAGATTCATCACTGAAATGGAAGCGGGACGATCACAGAGTGCCAGGCGGAGGGGCTCCTCCACCCTGTGCTCCAGCAGCTCGGATTTCACAACTATTCTCTGAAACTCAAAGTTTCCCCCATTTCTTCTTCAGAATAATTTGGACCGTAAGAAGTGTTTTTTGTTTTGTTTTGTTAAACCAGGATTTGGAAGAATGCAAAATATATCCATGCTTATAAAACACAGAATGAGAGGCAGTTCAACAGAGCAAGTCCGGCTCTGGACTTGGAGCAGGATTCCAATCCTGGGCCATCCTCACTGTGTGAACTTAGGCAAATCCTTAGCCTCACTTAGCTTCAGTTTTCCCCTCCTCTAAATGAGCGCACATAGCCGATGCCTAAAAATGCTAGCTATGATATTTTATCTGATCCAATCCAGCAGTTTGTTTGCGTATCACATCTGAGCTATGATGTGGTTTACAGAGCAAGGCAGGACTCAGTGCTCCTGCAGGGAGCCAACTCTCAGGAAGGGCCACCTGGCCTTCAGATTGTTCTACCAGTGCTCCCCAGGCCAAAGACCTGCAGAGGAGGTAGGAGCCCAGTCTTTGCAATGACGAGCTAGGCAACTTTATGGAAGCTGCCTGGCCTCTCTGAACTTCATCTGCTTGTATAAAAATAAAGAGATGAGATTGTGAACCTCAAAGGCTGGTTATAACTGAGGGGTTTAGCAAGGAGTCTGACACTTACTGTTATTTATCACGAAGAAGACAGTATATAGGGATGCAAAACAGGACCTAACATAGCAGTTTCTATATTTGATGATATTCCCACTAAACGCAATTAAGCCCATATGCTTCCTATCTGCATTGTGTATAAGCCAAACTTCACTCATCTCTTTTCCAACGGAAAGGCAGATAAGGTACTTTTATGCCAAGCAACAAGAGGTTCAGAGAAGTTAAGTACTTTGCTCAAGGTCACACAGCTACTAAAAGAGCAGAAAAGGCTAGATTTTCAAACTTCACAGGTATTCTTCCCATGTTTTTTTTCTGCTCTATTATCCAGAATTTCTCCTTTTCTTTTTGGGTGCCATTTAGAGATACCCTAATACCAAGCTTCCTGGATACCAAGCTCTTTTCTCAGTACCAAGGCACTGCAATCTCAGGCATAAAATATCACGGACTACATATGACTTGTAGATCGGGTCCATATACAAGCTCAGGTGAAACTTGCTGGAAATGCATATGTAAGATCTTCAGTTTTTTCTCAACTTGAAGTGATTTTTATGGAATCTTTTCAAATGTCCCAACTAACTATGAGAGTAGATCATTTAATCATTGTCTAAAAATAACTTCTTTCCCTTTAAAAGTAAATTTTTTAAGTTCACTTTTTCTTTTATACAATCAGTGTTAATGACTCCTGAAACCTATTACAGTTCCTTGGGCTGCAAATAGTTAATGTTTGCAGGTAGCTCCCCTGCAGATGGGAACAGTCCCACCTTTGCTTGCTTTGACCATTACCAAATGGCAAATAGCATTTTCGGACTTTTATTAATGACATTTCTTAGTAAACAACACATAAAAAACACTATTTGGAGGCAATATTGCTGAAGGTTATACATATGGATTCTGGAAACAGAAAATCTGAATTGCAGTCCAGCTTTTTAACAATAGTACAATCTTAGGCAAGTGCTTCGTTGCTGTAAGCCTCGGTATCCCCATCTATAAAAGGGAGATGGTGATAATATCGACTTTCTAAAGGTGAGTGAGGCTTAACTGGTTTAATACATTCAAAGCACTGGAATAAGACCTGTCACACAATGAATGTTTAGCTATCACAAGGTCTGCAAACTACAGCTCATGAACCAAATCTAGCCTACTGCCTAATTTTACATGGCCGATGAGCTAAGAATGATATTTACATTTAAAATAACTTTTAGCAAAAAAAAAGAGTATTTTGCATTATATGAAATTCAAATTTCAGTGTCCTTAAGTTTAATTGGAACATAGACACAACTATTCTGCACATATTATCTGCGTTTTTTACTCTATCACCAAGGTTGCCTAGCAGCGACAGGGATAACATGATCTGCAAAATCTAAAATATCTACTATCTCTCCCTCTATGTGGCCAGGTTGCCTAGTGCTGAGCTATTCTGTGTATAAGGCACCATGCCACTTTCCACGAACTGTCACTGTGGCAGCTCCCCTGAGAGGAAGGTGGCATCTTTGTTTGACCTGGGTTCAGAGACATCAAGTAACCTGGCAAGGTCACATGCAAACTAAGTAATATACACTGGCTGGCAGTCCAATCCAGGTTCCTGGACCCCAAAGCTCTTGATCTGAATTTTCTCCCCTGCTGTCTCTCCTGAGACAGGTTCCTCCATAACAAAATAAATTCTATGACTGCATTTGCTTTTTATGTAAAAGCAGATTATATTTTATTAATAAACATAAACTCGCTCTTTTGAAATGCATGGCTTTTCTTATATCCTAGGCAATGTGATCTCTCCTGGTTTGCATGCACTGAGTAATAGGGAAGTCTTTAGCTACATGAGTTTACCTTTCAACATGGAAAAAAAATCAATTTTACAAATTAATCATTCAGCTGAATAGGAGTATTTTTTCCATGTAGGCAATTACTAAAAATTATATGAAATGCGGCTTTAAAAATAAGATTAACCACATTTTCCAACTGTTGAGATGCTTTAAAAATACTGAATGTCAAACAGGAGTGTAAAGGAGTTAAGGAAATGGCTAGATTAATTACTATGAAAGTAGCTATATTTGGCACAGCCAAGCTGAGACTTTCAAATACATACTAGACAACCATGTCTATAAATGAAAAGGAAATTTGCAATGACACATGGCCAAAGCAAGGAGGGAATTGTTGCAAATATCACCATAGGTACAGTCTACCCTCAGGGAAAGGTCTACCCTCAACTTTGGTGTGTAAATGGATATGAACTGAAATTCCGACTTCCATGTTGACTAACAATGAACTAAGACAGGCAGGTTTAGGGTTTGCACAAGGAGGAAATATCTATTGCTATGACAGCTGCAGAAGACAGTGTGTTTCCTGCGTTAGACAGGTTTTAAGAAGGGGTCTAACGGTCAACTGCAGAGGATGGTAAAGGCTATTAAAAATTAGATGGGACAGATCAGAGAGCTATTCTAGCTGTCACTGGCACTCTTTCCAAATGGGGCTGTATGTGGGACTAGATATCTTCATTCATGAATTCATAGCTCTTCCAAAGTAACCTAGAAATAAGTCCATCCAACTCAGCGCCTCAAAAAACTTGCTGCAATTCTTCACAGCCAAGTGAGAGATTCTTCTTTTTTTTTTTTTTAGATGAAACAGACATATGTCCATTCCCTTTTTTGTAAGATTTCATATGTAATAGCTACAGTAAAAATTTAATTGACAATACCTAGTTCACAATCTTTATTTTTCTTAAACCTATAAATTCATTATTTTTCAATTCACCTATCTCCTAATTTAAAAGCCAGACAGAAACAATGGAAGAGGGAAATACTTTGATTTTTCTAAAGAACTGGTGTGACTTTTTATTTTGATGGACTGTAACAATTCTCTAGACCATTTTGTTTCAGTCACCAGGAAGCTCAAAACCAAATATAGAGTACAGAAATGACAAGTGACAAAGAGCTGAAAATGTATCTGCTAGCTCCTACGCTTCGTCTTATTTCGGTACTTTAAGCAAATTTTTAGTGATTCTGATTTAAAATTTTACACTTACAGATTATGTGACCATGTAATTAACTGTCCCACACTGGACATTTTGAGAATGAAAAGGGGAGCTATTATTGACTTCTCCCAGACAACAGATGCAAAGTAGGATTGCCCTTGCAAACCAGAATTTATGCTCAGCTCTTCTATTGGGGGTGGAGGGAGAATGTAAAAAAATGAGGCAAATATAATAAAGCATTTAAAGACAGAATATTAGGGTCCCATCCTCATGAGGGCAACATTTTAACACTGTATACCATGGATACTGCAAAGCAAGCACATGGCTTTTACAGCTTGCTCATCCTGTACAACATACTTGCACGTGCAAGGCAAGGCTACATCTCTTTTTAAGCTTTTGTGCTATCAAGGAAAAAAAGCCTAAAAATATAAAAAAGCCTAAAAATATAAAAAAGCCTAAAAATATATTTATTATAAAAATATAATAAAGCCTAAATATATAATAATGGATGCTAAATAAATACATTCTTGAATCTCATGAACCACTGTGAAAAGATAAAAGTAATCCAGTGTTCTCAACGAAGACATACCTTGGACTGTAAAAATGAATTTATACATCATATGTGTATTTTGCATTGATCTCAAACTGAAAAGAGGCATGTTGTCAACGAGGGGGGCTATTCCCTGCAAGCTCCTTGAAAATCATGGCAGCAACCACTCCTGCATTCTACATAATGAACCATCTGCTCTGCAAATTTTCTCTGAATAAGTTTTCAGGCTGAGATTTGATCTGATTTCCCCTTGTCTAAGTCCTTTTCTCCGGTCACCTCTGTTTCAGAGGCAGTCTCTTCCTCTGTTCACAGGGACATCCCGAAGTGCAAGCAACTCAGAGGAGTTTTAATGAAGTGATGTCAGTGGTGTTACTCAGCTCGGTGGACTGTATTATCTTAAAACCTTCCACAGCAAACAGCAGACAAGGATCGCTAATTGAGGTCTTTAATGAGTGATTCCTAACTTCTGAATGTGAGGATCTCTGCTTCACTTTGAAGCCGGAGATCCCTTCCTGCTGAGTTCTTTACACTGGGTGATTTTCTTTGTCTGGCCCATTCCAATTATGGAGTGATTTATCTCTCTCCACTTTTCCCATCACTTCTAGAATTGCTCTAAGACTTAAAGGAAAAAAAAAAGGAAGTAAGGAGGCGAGAAGGAAAAGTCAAACTCTTTTCTGAAAGGAATATCCTTGAGTCAAATTTGAAAAATGTCTACTCTTTGCAACACCCATATCCTCACAATAAGAGCTAACAGGAATAATAACAATTTGACTCACTGTAACAAACGCATGATTTTTAATTTAAAAAAAATCTTCATGGTCTTAGCTTAACATATTTTAGCAATACAAACAGATATAGGATTGATTTTAAAAAGCAAGTTGTGGAACACTACATACAGTATGATCCTTATTTTATACAATATATACTCTGCCTATAATCTTTTCAAAAGTCTGAAATGATAAATATTAAATTGCTTTTCATTGATTATTTATTTCTTGTGTGAAACAGGCAAAGGGGAGGGTAATGTTAACAAATTTTTTCATTTAGTTTTGTGTTAGACTTGTTTGAAAGCATAAACTATATGTATACTTTTATTTAAAAATCCTGATACAAGACATAGACTTTACAGGAAATCTAATCTTTATTAGTTTATAGTCATAGGCAGTGTTAATTTTACAGAGCAGTCTATGCAATGTAGCAATTTAGTTGTCTCCAATAGAGACTAGTATTATGGGCACTTGAAATAAATGTTGGCCTGTGAACAAAAACAAGTTAAATTGATCATTATTGATGATTTGTACTGCAGAGTATTTATTTAGCATGGGACTTGCAACCCCTTACGTTTCAATGATCAATTATGTCCTCTCTGGTTCACACAGTTCAAATTATGCCTATAAAACATGTAGAAGCTATGTGAACAGTAGGCCCTTAACTTAACTCTAAAGAGTTAGCTGTGAGTAAACACCTTGCACTTGGCCTCCACTGCTCTGCAATACAACCCTACTGCGTTGCATTAGCCTCCCTGGTTACTTTATCTGCTGCCTTCTCACTACAATTGAGGCTGCTATCCTTAATGTAGGCAGTCAAAAAATAAATGATTCCTGTGCCTTCCTGGTGGTGCAGCAGGTTAAACGCAGCGCTGTGAAGCTGTCCGCAGCCTCTGCAGTGCAGGTTTGATTCCCAGCCAGCCAGGGAGATAGCCACATGATGCAGCAGACCTCTCCTGTCTCTCCTGCTGCTCTCCTCAGCAGTGCTTTTGGTCCGTTTGCATGTTCTGCTCCCCGCTCTGTCTCTATTGAATCTTCTCACCCTCCTGCGCCTCTGGCCTGTACCCTAGCTCTTGTATAAATAAATTTAAAAAATCTTAAAAAAAACAAAATAAATTAATCCTGCTGGGTGAAATCATCTTAAAAGCAGATGCTCCTAAAAATGGTTGTTGGTTTATATCTAAAAACATTCCCTATTCTGTGAAGATTTCTTGGGCACCCCATTCTAAATGGGTTCTATGATAAAAACATCATGTATTATTTTCTACTCCTTTAGACCTTATACATCTTAGTGCCATACAACATTGGATGTCATTCCTCACAATGACATAGCAATTTTTTTTACCCATTTATAAATAGCCTCCCTAACAACATGCCTATTGTGATGGGTGCTGGGGAAAAAAATCCATCAGTTTCATTTGATCATGTAAGTTGGAGGCCAGTAGAGATAGCCATGGCCACATAATGAGAATTACCCTGAAAAGTAGGACATTGCAAATCTGCAAACTGTCAGGTGTTGGGATAGGGTCTTTAGGTGTCTCATATGAAAAACAACTAGAATAATTAAAAAATAATACCTGATCTGGGGTTCCAGGCTTCTTGGGATCTGCACATGCAGCTTGGTGGGGCTTGGGGTGGGAGGGAGGGTCTGTGAACCATTTTCAGCACTTCAGTAGCTAACTAGAAAGCATACATTTATCTACAAACTGGATGGAAATGTCTCATTTCTTTGCTTTCTTGTGAAAATCTGTTCAGTTGATTAACACGCTATTTCAAGGTCTGGGGAACAGTGACATATGTCTATCAAAGTAAGGTGTCAGACTAACAACACAAAACCATCAACTGTTTGCTAGACAAAAGTTCTTATGGCAGAAAAATAACATGAAAGAAAGGTGCCTAGGGGCAGAGTCTGAGCACCAATGGCCTGAGAGCCCCCAAAGTCCACGCACTAACTTGGAAAGAAGTCTTCATCTGCCTCCATGATTCCCTATAGGGTGTTTTGCTCCTGCTATCCCAGTGATAACAGCCATGAGTTCTAGGACTTACTCCGGTCTGTTGCATTCTCGAACAGCTGTTTTGATGCCCCCTCCACACGTTCTTGAGCATGTTCCAAAATGACTCCAACTTCCCCAGGATCCATCAGTCACGGGGACCTCCATCTCTTTGGGAACACAAAATCCAAACTTGCAGTGCTGTATTTAATAAGGGGAACAGTGAGGGAGAGCTCGGAGCTTGAGACATTGCAGGACCCGCTGTCCTTTCAAATATACCATCCTTTCATTTTTTTCCACATGCTGCTTTGAAATGCTACAATTTTATCATCTATATGAATGGAAACTCTAGGGATTTTAGTCTCATACTTACTGACTTCAGCTCTCTCTTCCTTTACAACCTGCTTGAGCACAACTGGCCACTGAGTGGTTGGCTCCAGGCTGTCAGGTAACGCCAATGGCCAGCATCGAAGGCTCAATTAATCTACTTGGAAAAATGAGTGGAAATGGGCAGACATTGTAGGCTGCAGACAGACCTACAATGAGTTACTGGATTGCATAGTAAATCTGCATTAACAAGGTCTAAAAACATTGCCAGCCTGGCAAACTATAATGCTTTATTGCTCCCCACGAGTTTGCAAACCCAATTTTAATGAAATGGGGAGTGGGGGGGAGCTAGTTACCTGATTCCTATAAACTCACTTCACCAAAGCACACAGGATGAGACTAACCCAGAATGCACACATTTCAGCGAGTCCTAAACTTTATTGCTTTTTTGTTACTAATGGTTTCAGATTCCCCAGCCTAGAGCAGGAAGATGGCCATGATGTTTAAAACAAAACAAGACAAAATAAAACTCCCCAGCAGGACAAGGGGGTCAAGAAACCCATTTCAACCCTCTGCCATTGTTGGGGTGTGAGGCCCTGACACGGAGCCGAGGTCACTGAGCAGGGGACAAAGGAAGAGAGGCAGCAGTGGCGGCAGGAGGGTGACGTCCTGCGGCTCCCTCAGATCTCTGAAGCAGAGCTGGTTGCGGCTGCCTTGATTTATCCACAGGGAGGAGGAGGCAGGCAGGGAAGGAAAAAGCCATGAAGGCCAGGGGGTAGGGAGTGTGCAGAGAAAGTGCACAAATATCAGGCAGGTGAAGGTCTCAGTCCGAATGACTGAAGGTCTCAGTCCAGGAAAGGCTTGCTTAACAATTATTCAAAGAGTGCAATTAAGCTCTCTCTATTTGCTGCCTTCTCCCTTGTAATTATGCCATTAGAGTATCTGAAGACGGGTCTCTTTCCCTGGGCTGTTTGGCTGAGGTTTAAAAGGTTCTGCTTCCAAAGGATCCTGGGTAACTTCATACCCATGAAATGTGGGCTGGGGCAGAGGTGACCACATCACTCCCTGAAATCATTTTATATTTGTCTTTACAGCAGTCTCAAGCATTTCTTGGAACATATACACATAAAAATAATTGAACAGAGAGGCAGCTTATTCTAGAATACCACTGTCCAATAAGAATACAATGTGAGCCACATATACATTTGAAAAAAATTTAGCCACATTTAAAAAAGTGAAAAGAAAATGGAATTTTAATGTCTTTTATTTCACTCAAAACATCTCATTTTGGGCTTCCCTGGTGGCGCAGGGGTTAAAGTCTCAGTGCTATCAAGCTATCTTGACCCCTGTAACATGAGTTCGATCCCTGGCTGGGGAGCTGACCCACATGGCACAGCAGACCTCTCCTGTAGCGCCTGTCTCCTGTCACAGTGTATTTCAGTTTATCTGCCTGTTCTGCTCCCCAGTGTGTCTCTGGTGACTCCTCTTACCACCCCCGCCCCCCACATCTCTGGCCTGCACACCAGTTCTTGTGTGCATAAATAAATCTTTTTAAAAAATCTCATTTTTTCCATAATCAATATAAAATTTTAAATAAGTTTTTTAACAATATTTATTCATACTAAGTCTTCAAACACCTGCTCTGTCTACTAAAATTTAAGACAAAGTCAAGAGTAATGAGATAATGTGATGAAGCTGAGACTCCATATTATCCACCCAATATCTGTGCTCTCCTTCATCCTTGGTAACAGAATCTATATTTTCCCAGACGCCTGTACGAATAGGTGTGGTCAAAGAGATGTCAAAGAACTCATTGAGTGTGATTCCCGGGAAGATCCTTTTGACCCTCTCTCTGTTCCTTATTCTTTGGTTTCATTTTGCCTGGAACTCCATCTTGATAGGTACAGCAATAGCAGCCACTTTGTGACCTTGTGGATGAAGGTCATAGGCCAGCAGCCCTGGCCTATGATGATTTAATGGAGGTGTCATAACAGCTTCATAACATGCCTACTTCTGTACTATTTTTTTGTGTCAGAAAAAAATCAATTTGCTTACACTATTATAATTGGGTCTGACCTGAACAAAATTCCTAATTAATATACAATTGAAATTATAGCTAATGCTGATATTCAACTCTCAAATCTTGCTGTCAGAAACATAAATTGTACAAAATAAAGAGAAAATTCCTGTTTTTCTATGCTTCTAAGTAAAAAATGGTCTGCAAATTAAGTATTCCTTACTGATATGGCCATAGACAAATATTCAAAGGACAGGAAGAATCTTAGAAGAACAGCTTAAGTACTTAAGGTGACAGTGGCTATAAATAGGGCTATTTGGCAAATACATACCAAAATAATCTATTTACCAGGCAAATTCAATAAATAATGATTACATATAGGAATATGTAAGCATTAAGTACTTAACTTACAGAGCTTGAGCCAAAATATAGTTGGCCTTTCCTAAATGTTCAAAACCATTTAAAAGATATTTTATATAACGGCATCTTTTCAAAAGTGGTTGGCACTTTGTCAATTTGTTGATGTCAATTTGTCACAAGAAGTCTTAAAACAAAAAAGTTTCAAACCTCAGGCTCAGAAACAGAGTTCAAATGAAAATGCTAATGAATTTAACAAGAGAATGGAGAAAACAGAGACATTAGAGAGTCATTCATCAAAATAACATTGTGTTAGCTTCCCAGACAGATTACTGCAGAGGGAACAGAATAGAAAGAAGAAAAAGGGGGAAAAAATTCACCTATCACCAAAGGGACTCACAATTTGCTAGAGAAAAGACATACAGTTTTACTACCAATCCTATGAAAACAAAACAAAATGAAAAAACACAAAGACTTTCTATGCCAACATATCCGTCTTTGGCATTTGTAAAGCACATAAATACTCTTCAAGGGAATAACACACATATACCCACATCTTTAATAAAATCTGCTAGACTTGGCCACTTTTCTAAAACACAACTAAAAATATAACGATCATTTTTTCTGCATAAGTTCTCAGAAAGTGCTCTGAGCCTGCCCTTTGGAATGCCCTGAAGTCTCTTGCTAAGTACCAGCATACACAGGAAAAATGTCTCCTGAAAGTTCCCAAATTTCCCCACACCTCAGTTATAAGATTATCTTGCAATCCCCTATCATCTGTTTCTATTATTAAAACAGAAGATTAAAAGGCTTCCCACCAAGATGGTGATACAGAAGTTTCCTTACTGTACTCCTGAGAAGATCCTCTAACAGTTAACCAGAAGATCACTATACTCAGGGAGTCCTGTGGCTTGGGGCAAAAACTAGAATACCCCATGGACATCAGAAACTAACTAACATAGCCATGGGAAGAAGAGACTGAGAAGAGAGAAATGTCTCGTTGAATAGGAGGTTGGTGGAGAAAAACAGCTAGAGGCTGTTGTCCAGGATAGGCGATACAGACAAAGGGCTGCCACTCATCCAGGAGTTGTGGAGAAGGGAGAGCTAAATGATGTAGAGACATCATTTATCTAGGGCAAACATGTCCAGAGGAGCTGAAGGTGTTCCACACAGGTCAGATACCAGTAAAAGGATTAGAAACTGTATTATGGACTGCATTCCTGCTCCCCTTCCCCTTGCAACCAGTACTAACATTGTGATACTGACAGTGCACAGATTCTCAGATCTGGAACCCAAGAGAGAAGAGATATAGAAGGTGCTATAAACACAAACCAGGGATACCAAACCCCCAGCACATTCTCGCCATCACTGGACCCCTCTAGGCCCCTCCTCCATCCTGCTGAGTCAGCAGCTGCAAAAAAAATGGGTCTCATGACTAAGGAATCCAGGAAAGATTTAAAAAAAATATGTCAATTCAAAGAAATGAAAGTGAAATCCACCAGGAGAGAAATATTAGAAATTAGAGAAAAAATAGATAAAACAAATCAAAACGGTAATTCAAAAGATGAAACCAAAAACTGGTTCCTTGAAAAGATAAAATAGATAAACCTCTAGATAAGCTCACTATGAAAAAAAGAAAAATCTAACAAATAGAATCAGAAATGAAAGAGAATAGACACCTCGGAAATACAGGGACTCATAAGAGATTACTATGAACATATTTATGCCCATAAATTCGATAACCTGGATGAAATGGACAAAGTTTTAGACACAAACAACCTTCCAAGACTGAATCAGGAAGAAACAGAAAACCCAAACAGACCAATTATAAGAAAGGAAATTGAAACAATAAGCAAAAGTCTTCCAAGAAAACAGAAGCCTAGAACAAGATAATTCCATTAGTGAGCCCTACACCAAACATTCAAAGAGAGATAATCTAATAACAACTGTCTTCTCAAACTTTCAAAAAAATTGAGGAAGAGGTTAGACTTTTAAACACATTTTATGAGGCCAACATCACTCTGATACCAAAAACAGAGGACATCACAAAAAAGAAACTACAGATCAATATCCCTGATAAACATAAATACAAAAATCCTCAATAATTTCTTAGCAAACTGAATTCAGCAATATAGTAATATAATCCTATATTACAACCAATGGAATTTATTCCAGGGACCCAAGAATGGCTCAATATTGAAAAATCAATGATTATAATCCATAGCATTAATAGAAGGAAAGAATAAACTAGGAATGAAAAAAACTGAAAAAAAAAAAATCCCATTTACAATCTCACCAAAAGAAATTAAATACCTTGGAGGTATTTAACAAAAGAGAAGAATGACTTATACTATGAAAACTATAAGACATTGTTAAAAAATAAAAAAAATAATATAAAAAGTGGGAAGTTAATCCCTGCTTGTTGTTTAGAAGAATTAACACTACTAAAATGGCCATCTTACCCAAAGTAATATACAGATTCAATAAAATCACTATCAGCATTTCATTGGCCTTCTTCAAAGAAATAGATCAGAAATTATTGAAGTTTATCTAGAACGAGAATAGACCCTGAATAGCCAATGCAATTCTGACAAAACGGAAGAATGGAGGTATCACATTCCTAGACTTTAAACTAAATGAAAAAGTATAGTAATCAAAACATATGACATTGCACTAAAAATGGACACTAGACCAATGGCATAAAATTGAGAGCCCAGAAATAAATTCACTGTTATAGAGACAGTAAAACTATGACAAGGGAGCCAAGAATATACAATGGAGAAATGAAAAGTCTCTTCAATAAATGGAGTTGGGAAAATTGGCCAGCCGCATGCAAAAGAATGAAACTAGACCACTATCTCACATAATATACAAAAACTAACCCAAAGTTGAATTAGGAATTTAGATGTAAGATGTGAAACCAGAAAATTTAGGCAAAGCATTCTGTGACACCAGCTTTAGAAATGTCTTTGGAGACTTGACTCCAATGGCAAGGAAAATAAAAAAAAACAAATGTGACTACATCAAACTAAAAAGCTTCTGCACAGTTATGGAAACTATCATTACAATGAAAAGATACCCTACAGAGTGGGAGATGATATTTGCACATCACATATCTGACAAGGAGCTAACACCCAAAATTTTCAAAGAACTCAAAAATTCAAGAAAACAAATAATTCAATCCAATAATGGGCAGAAGAGCTAAATAGACACTACTTTAAAGAAGACATAATAGGCAAATGAAGAAGTTCCCATTATCATTTATCAAAAAGGAAATGTAAATCAAAACCATGATGAGATACCACCTCACACCAGTAAGAATGGCCCATATCAAAAAGACTAGAAACAAGTGTTGATGAGTATGTGGAAAAAAAGGAACACTTGCACACCATTGGTGGGAAGGGACACTGATTCAGGGGCTTATATTAAGTGAGATAAGTAGCTTATGTTAAGTGAGATAAGTCAGAAAGAGAAAGAACATACACTGGGTGATCTCACTCATACGTAGAATCCAAAAAAAAAAAAAAAAAAAGAGAGAGAGAGAAGAAGAAGGAGGAAAAGTACAGATGAAACTAGAGCAAAATAAACCCTAGGAATCTGACTATAAAATTGAGGCTACCAGGGCCTCCCTGGTGGCACAGGGGCTACAATCTCAGCATTATAAAGCTATTGACAGCGACTGAGGTATGAGTTCCATCCCAGGCCAGGGAGCTAACCCCCTGGCACAGCAGACCTTTCCTGTTGCACCCGCTGCTCCCCTCTGCAGTGTATTTCAGTCAGTCTGCCTGTTCTGTTCCCCACTCTGTCTCTGGTGAATCCTCTCACCACCTGCACCTCTAGCCTACACCCCAGTTCTTATATGCATAAATAAAAATAAATCTTAAGAAAAATTGAGGCTACAAGAAGGGAAGCATAGAGGGTAGGGAGCAAAGGGGGTCCAGTGGGCTATGGTGGGGGATTATGGGTGCTTTAGTGATGAGTGTAATATGCTAACACATCAGAAGAAAAGTGAACTTACACTCCTAAGTCATACAAAGCGCTGTAAAACCTATATTACCTCAATTAAAAAAAAACTGAATTAAAAAACAAAATGAAATCTTCCCCAGAAGATTAGAAGAAGATATGATAGTCATTTTCCAAGTTACTGCATTTTCTGATTGATTAGGGTACTGTACTATTATATGGAACTTGGTCACCTGTTCATGATTATTTTCCTAAACAAAATTCACTTCATCATTTATTGAGAATTCATCTTGATTGTGTTTTTTACTATAACAAGGTGTCATAAATACATACAGTGAGCGTGTGCATCAGAACCACAATACAATACCTGTGATTTTGCTGTAATCAAGTATTCAATTTAAGTAAAATAGTTGGCTGGCCCGAACTCAAGCCAACCAACCAAGTTGTCAAGTAGGTATCATGTATATTATGACCTCTCTTTAACTGGTAGCTGCCATCTTGGTCACTGTGTTTGGAAGAGCACTAAGGCCACATATAATTTTGTAATAATTAGTAAATTCATAATGCCTGCCATGGAAACCTCAGAACCATTTTCACACTCAAGCCTATGATGCTCTGACCATCAACACATCAAGTTAAATGTCACCCAAAAAGTGAATTCACTTTTCAGCAAAGATTTATTTCTTTGTAAGGTAATGAAAGGTCCAGAAGTTGTTGTGCCTTTTTCTGTATATTATTTTTGTTAGGTTGTTTTTGGAAAAGGCTGTAGTCTCAATGGCTGAGGTTTTAGTCATCAAGAAGTGAGAACATGAGCAGACTTAGTCACCAAGTTAAGTATAAAATTGTTTTTATTATAATCTTTTATTCTGTATCAGACTATATATTTTTTAAAATTCCTCTAATAGTCTCTAGCTCATATAACTTTATAACCACCCTGAGAAATGAAAAAAGAAACCCCTAGTCCTATTTGACCACTGAAAACTGAAAGAGTTCAGTGAGCTTGTGTTTTGGCCACTCTGGTAGACCTTACACTCCTTAAGACAAAAGCAAAGCAGGGACTTAGGGTAGAGTTGGGAGGGGAAGGGGGATTCTGCCCCTGATAAGTGAGTCACTTTTTTCTGCTCCCTATCTATAAAATCAGAGAAGGGAGAGTCAAGTTCCCTCACCACTAGGGACCTCTTCCACAGAAACATCCTGGCTGATACTGATTCTACAAAGGTGAATGGAGGAAAAGGACGTAAGATGAGAAAATCAAAAACAAGTACAGTGGAGAAGCAAGAGAGAAAACAGGAAAAATTATATGTAAGGATGACAAGAGACTCAGAATACAGTTCAAGCGAGGGAATGCCATTTTCCATATGGATTTAAAAAAATCAGGGTTTATATCTAAAACTATCTTGGAATCAATTATTTGATGGTGAGCATGATGATGACATCACCATCATGCTACACTACCTTTTTAGATGGACAAAAGGTACAGAGGATGAAGTAACTATTTATAGGTGTGGGGGACATTGTTATCATTGGGCAGAACAGTAGCAGACTTTGGTTTTTTTAAATTTTTTATTTTTGCATAGAAGAACTGGGGTGTGGGCCAGAGGTGTGGGGGTAAGAGAATTTGCCAGAGACAGAGTAGGGAGCAGAATTGTGGATTTACTGAAATATACTGCTGAGGGGATCAGCAGGTGAGACAGGAGAGGTCTGCTGGGCCATAGGTGGGTTAGCTCCCTGGCTGGTATCGCACTCAGGCCGTAGCTGTGATAGTGGTGAGACTTAACCCCTAGGCCACCAGGGAGGCCCAGCAGACTTTGATTATTAACAAATAAGTGGGAACCATTATAACCAGCTCAGTATTTACATTTGGACTTATGTCTGGTGACATAAACAGCTCCTTAAAGGGACCAACACAGTTTGCAAAGCCATGGTATCCCAGAAGTGAATACGCTAATTTTACTACATTTCTATTTTTCCTGATTTTTAGATGACCCATCAACTTAAAATAGGCTTTACTGCCACAAGAGAGACACTAAGAGAGAGAAATGAAACACACCTTACCTTAAATATATCTATACATCGAAATGCAGGTTGGGGTTTCAGAAATGTTAAAATGAGAAAAGTATGACTTAAAATTGAGACTGAAGTAGCAGTTATGTATCTCATGTAAGATTTCCCAATTTTCAATAGTAAAGTTGACCCTCCCGCCTCAAAAAACTACTATGCATACTAAAACATTGACTTGAATTCTAAACAGTGCTGTAACCTCATTCTGACCCCAAAGAGAAGGAAGGATGAGGGTGTTACTTGCCTTTCCTGGCTCGCACTCTGTCCCGTCCGCCCAGGGTGTGTGCTGGGTCCGGCAGCCTTTGTGTGCTCCGTCCACGTTGTTGCACCAGAGTCGTCTACACTGCATCTGCTCAAGTCAGTGATGACGTGATTAGACCATATCAATCATTTGGCCAATAACCTAGTGTAGGTTGGAAATGGATTTTCCCCTTTGGTATAGCAAATGAAAAACTAGTCCAAGGGACTCCAGCAAACAACCCATGCACATATTTCTCTGCCTGGTAGAACCTGAGGTGGTGTAAAAGGGGCCCTATAGACATATCTGGTCCTCAGCAACATCTCCCCACATTACAGATGAGGAAAGCTAGACTCATGTGACTAAGGAGCGAGCGAGCTCACTACACACCGAAAGAGTGTAATCTCAGTTCAGTTTGGAGATGAAGTGTGACTGAAGATTAAGTTATGAGTTATGTTGTGATAAGCTGTCATTTGAGTTTAGCTTGACAGCAAAATTGGTGTTTTTTTCTATCAGCTAATAAAATATCATAATCATATTATGATACTTTTGGAGAACTTTTAGAGGCTGTCAGAGGAAAGAAGATATGAAGTATTGTGAAATATTTCAGGCAGACAAAAAGCACAAACAAAACACAATGGATACCCTCATACCCACCAACCAACTATAGAATGAAGACTTTGCAGATACAGCTGAAAGTCCTGTATCTGGGACCGCATTTCTTTCCCCTTCTCCCCAGAGGCGAAATGCTGGTGCCCAGCATTTCATGATATACTGTTATATCTTGCAACTTACCATTTCATCAATATCATTGCTTTTACTACAAATGTATAAATAGCTTCCAGTAATACACAGCATTTCACCTTCAAGCAAGTAATAATATTCAGTATTTCAGGACATACTGCCATATCTTGCAACTTACTTTCACCCCGAACCCCCACTCTGTACACTATGATTTTTAGATTTATCCCAGTTGAAATGTTTAGCTCTACTTAAGGCCATACTATGAAAAGATTTTTTCTCCTGTTTATTAAAACACACCATTCTCACAGTAGAAAATTTCAGAAGGCACAGATGATTTATCTTTTAGACAGAGAAAGTCTCAAACTACCCACTCTTACCTGTAACTTTTCACACCTTTACAGATGAGAACATAGTCTACAAAATAATTACCTGCCCTGTTATCTTAAAATTTATCAGGAGCATGTTCTCATGCACAAATTTTTAATTAGCGTATACTATTTCACTAAATGAAGACTTTAATTTGCTTAACTTTCTGTTGTTTGGTATAGAGATAGCTCCTCAGGCTTGCTCTCATAAGTACATAAAAGAATAAAACCATGGCTAAATTTGACTCAAAGTTTTTAATTATTTCCCTGAAATCACTGTATTTCCAAACTTACCATGCTCTTGTAAAATCTCTCTTAGCAAAACACACACACACACACACCCCTGAAGGGATAGGATGGGGGAACCCAAAGGAGCACAATCTGCTTATCTGCAACCTTACAGCCACTGGATCCTATCACTGGCACAAATGTCCACCAGATTAGTTATCATCTCATATGATTTCAAACCCCTGGTGGTCACAGGACACAGTCTGGACAAGAAGATTTCCTAGTATAAAGGTTAACTGGACAGGTTTGCTGGCATGAAAGGAGACAAGAGAGAAGGGTTGGGCCCTAAAAACTTGTCCTCCCTGAGCTCACTTTCCTACTTGTAAAGTGATAGTGATAAAGCCCTCTCCCTTTGGGGGCATTCATGAGAATGAGCTGGGAAGTACAGATTAAGGCACCATCTAAAGCTGAGATATCTGCTTATCACCAACATTATTACTGTTATCATTAACAGCTGCTGGAGCATTCTCAACTTTTCCATGGGTAGTTTATGTTAGAGTGAGACTACAATGGAAAAGTGTAAATAAAAGGAAGACCAAAATGGATTTGTGAAGGTGGAAATAGTCCCCAACACTTACCATATATGGGCACACCTGAGAACCTGGTCCAAAAATCAATTCACATTGTTTATTCACGTTGTAGAGGAGGCCTGGCGGTTGGGGAGGCAAAGAGTAGGGTCTGGATTCAGGTTCGTTAAGCAAACACTCGCCGTAACCAGTGCTATGGAAAGCAGAAAAACACAGATGGTGAGAGCAGTAGCTGAGAGGAGACTCTGAAAGCCTCCAGATGAAAATGAAGGCCTTTTCACCATTTGAATGGTAGAGATGCTCTTGCTTTATATTTTTTTTCTTCCCTTTTCATCCAAAGTGGAGTCCAGAAGCTCAAGCTATAATTTTGGTGTACAGTTGTTTGTGGAATCATTGGCTGTGCATGCAACAAAGCCAGTTGCAAATATGTAGCTCTGACAGCATTTGTCAAACATGGAGTAAATTTTCAGTTTACTTTTTACCATCTTCTCAATAGACTGAAAACTTCTTAATGCATGGGGCCCTGTCCATCGCAACTGGTGCTTAGTAAATGTTTTTAGATACATGAGTGAGTGAATCAATGACTAGAGCAAGAAACAGCTCAGAATATATGCTTAAAAAAAGTCAACCTCTCTGGTCTTTGACTTGTCTGCAAACAATTCTGGAAAATTCACCCAGTGCATTCTGATTAATAAAACCCCCCTTGTCCTCGTGGTTGCAAAAATAGATACCAGTGACCTTGGGACAGTCACTTAACCTTCTGAACACCTGGGAGAGAAGAGCAAAAAATCTGTGACATGGGGATATCATATAATGTATTTGGATCTTTGAACAGCCTGGCTGGCAACTTAAAAAAATAATATAAGAAAAAGACAGAGAGAGGAGAGAGGGAAACAGAATGTTCTCAAGTCAACAACATGGGGTCTGCTGCAATTTTTATCCACCCACATAACCTTTGTGGTCATCTCACTTCTCTGCTCCTTTATAAGCATGAATTTCTAAGTTCAAAGCACATAAATATTTGTGGCCATCATCATGAAATACTCACAGCCCCTCCTGCAAGACCTGGACAGATATCCTGGTTTTACCAAGAACAAAACAACATTTACATATTCTCTTTAGAATCCCAACCTTTTCTTTAATTCAATCTGTAATCTTCTAAACTCTGGAGAGGATATAAACTGCACAGATGTCAAAAAGAATTTTTTTTTTTGCCTCCTCTAAGGAATGCCAACAAAAATAACAACTCAAAAGGAATGCTTGACCCTACATTTTCTTTCCCACAATTAGTTTACTACATGAAGGCCAGACACTAGAAGTCTGTGCTGAAAGTAAGTTCCAGTCTTACTCTAAGAATTCAGTAATATATTTTCGACTGCACTTTGACCACATCCAGGGGTTGGTATAGAAGTTCAGTGTGGGAGCCATGACGTGCTGTGGACTCTTTACTCCTTCTTCTTTGCATTTATTGTTGTCATCATGAGGCATGTTAAACCTAAAGCCAAAGAGACAAAAGTAAGAATGTCAATAAACACCATGGGACCAAGCTGTTCTAACTGCTTTAAGAATGCATTTGCCTAAGAGAAAAACATTCAATTGACTATTGCATTGAGGGAAAGAAGCTGAATCCTGGCGAGCAGAACAAAACTTACTGGACAATTAAAGATGGAGTGTAGAGTCAAACATAATTTTTACTCAATTTAATACAAAGTGCCTTTAATGCCTAAAAAGAAATACCGATTGGGCCATTATTTGGTTCTGCAGAGGCTCTCAACATGCTGTAGTTGGTGCTAGAATACAGTAGTTGGAATTCCTAATAAGCTATTAAAAGCCAATTTATAGAGTCAAGAATTTGGCAGGTTATGATAATGTTGTGAATATAAAGAGTCAGCAAGTATCAAACCATGAAGCCAAAAGCTTTCCAACAAGAGGCTCACTGTGGGTCTTGGCATCTGCTCCTTTCTGGGTCAAGAAGACAAATGCTGTAACTATGTGGCTCTATCATTATAAAGGTATGCAAAGTTCATGCACAATAAAACCCATTAAAGAAGGCACAAGCATGGAAACCATAGGCATGCCAATTCAGCTGGCTTAACTCAGAGATGGCAGGTAGTTTTATGCTTCTTGCCAGCACCAACTGTTGGCTGCTGGCTTCCTGAAAAGTCGGGCACAAAAGGATTCTTCAACTAATCCAGATTCTGCCCAAGGGAAGGCTGTGATGGAGAGCCAGGGTCCTCTCGGGTCTGGGAGGGAACTCAACAACAGCATTAACACATACCTGCCACTCTTGGCTTAGCATAGAAGAAAAATGTGTGCTTGGGGGAAATGGGGCGGGATGATGCTTGGAAGCATTTCTCAATCCTGAATCATCAAACCCATGGGCTTCAGGCAACCTTCTCAGCTCAGGTCATTATCTACTGGGTAACCATCTCAGAGAGGCTGTCCTGTTTGGGTGACAGCCCCTGCATGTGATGGATTTAGCACCCAGGAAGCAATTGTCTTCACTAGCTCATCTTAAAATTTGGAAATCAGATCAGCTGAACTGCATGAAGCCCATGAAGTCAATTCCATTAATTTCTCTTGCATTTAGTATAAACTGTCTGGCTAAAGAGGAGTTTATAAATTAACAGGATATTCTATTTCTTCAAATAGCATACTTTTCTTAGCTATACATTGGTGGGAAATATTAATCACACAAACTCTCTGCCCTTTAATACATTCCAAGCTCTGTAATTTTTCCTGTTCCACTGCTGCTTTTTGGAATGCTACTCTATCCTTCATAGACAAATCTACATCTCCTATTCAAAGGTCTAAAGGAATTTACCAGGTTTTATGCAAAACAAAAATCCACCCCTCCCCCCCTCTCTTAAACTAAGTTTAGGAAAATCAAAAGCAAGCAGTTTACTTTAATACAGAATTTGTCAGTCTTTACTTTATGCCACTGAGCCTTGTGACTGCAAGCAGGGTTAGTCTTAAGAACATATTCATTTAAACCACTTGTCTATAAAAGTTGTTTTCCATATACCATTCTCTTGGAATTAGCTTTTGAGCCCTTATGCTTTGGGAAATGCTGGTAGGACCAGCAGTTTTCAAACTGAGGTGCAAGAAGTTCTTGAGTTTCATGAATGTATTTCAGAAGCCAAAGGTCAGAGAGAAAGCTAACCAAGCAGGACCCTGGAAAACCACTACTGCTAATTGAAGGCCCTTTTTGTTTTCTGAATATTAGGTACCTAACAGTATTTCCTTTGGAGAAAAAAAAGGGAGGCTGTTCTTAAAGTGCTTGAAAATCACTAGTTTAAAAATATACAAATTATATGTTGAATTAAATTGAAGACACCTATCTATGTGCATCATGCTTTAGGCCCAGCACAGTACACTGATGTAAGGCAACTCCAAAAATTATTCTGAGAAAAATTTTGAGAAATGATGTTAGCTCCAAATAAAGTTAAATTCTGACATGCAAATTGATATATCTCTGTATTGATTTAAGACTCCTTTTGAGAGAATGATTTTTAAAAGGACACAGCATAGTAATTTAATCATTCTTGGGCCTCCGCTGGTGGAGCAGCGGGTTGAGCGCAGCTCTGTGAAGTTGTCCGCAGCCTCTGCAGAGCCGGTTTCAATTCCCGGCCGGCCAGGGAGATTCCCACATGGCGCGCAGACCTCTCCTGTGTCATCCGCTGCTCCCCTCAGCAGTGTACTTCAGTCTTTCTGCCTGTTCTTTTCCCTGCTCTGTCTCTGGTGAATTCTCTCACCCTCCTACGCCTCTGGCCTATACTCCAGTGCTTGTATAAATAAATAAATCTTTGAAAAATAATAATTTAATCATTCTTGAAAAAAAAACAGTGCAGATCAAAAATCAGAATTTCTAGCCAGTTTATACTGCTCTGCCCCAGGTTTCAGTCAGGCTCTCTCTTGAAAGAACAACCAAAAAAGTCAGTTTCATTATGACCAGATACTAAGTGACTGTAATTAGGAAATGATATCTTCTCAGTATTTTTGTTCATTCTCTTTCCTGAAAGAGGGAATATCACTGTTACTAGAGGCTAAATGTCAGAATTATAGCAGCCATGTGTAACTAGAATCAGGAATGTGATAGGTTTTTGAATATCTTGTGGGCGAGGGCCATGTTGGGGAAGTTCTTAAATAAAGATGTTGTTAGGAAAGTTGTCCAAGCTAGTACATCCTCTACCTCGGTGGATAGGGACAAAGGCCCATTCTTTTAACTCCCTGAGGGGTAACAGAATATTAGGCCTTGGATGGAGAATGTGTGTAGCTAAACCAAAGACACCGTGAGCTATAGCTGATGAGGGTGCATTTACTCATCTTCCTGAAGTCAGTCATTTCTCTCAATTAGGTTTGGAACTCCTCAACCCTGCAGACTCTAAGACCGGAGAAGTATCTCATACCCTCCAAAGTGAACTGAATGCTCACTGACATGAAGAAACAGGTTTAGGTCTATCTGAATTAAGTAAAAATATGGAGAGGAAACATACACGTGGCCTAGCTCGTGGGCAATCGTAAAAGCCGTGCTCAAGCCACTATCTTCACTTATAGAGCAACTTCTATAGGGATCACAAATGGTTCCCAGTTCAGCAAGACCTAGTGGAGGGAAAACAAACAAGGGTTCATTTTAAAATGCCATTGTGACTGAGAATGAAAACATGTAGTAAAATTGCTATAGACACAGAAGATACACACGGTCGACTTACCTAAGGTGTCACATTTGTCATGGGCTCTGCAGATATCCTGTCTGAAAGCAAAGGAAACTTAGGGCTTGGAGGACACCAAAGAGCAAATGTCAATACAAGTCAACACTCCAGACCTTCTAGGTGCTGTTCACAGTAGCAACACTTCAGGGAGGGCTGTTACAAAAAACTAACAAAAAGCCAGAGGGTTTGCAACTCAAAGGAGTTTGGAACTTGTTGATTTAAGGATGGAAATGATTGGAAAATCAATAAAATTGGAGTGGGGAAAAAGGATGAAAAGCTATATAGGGAAGTCTGCCATACAGAACAAGCAGAAACCTCCAAAAGAGACTTTCCCTACTATCTTGGGATAAGCAATTCTGTTTTCTTAATGAACCTTCCAGAGAAGGTTCCAAAAGCCTTTCACTTAATTTCATTTAAGAATAGTTTTTGTGACCAACTGTATGAGAGCTGTGGACTAGGCCAGGGTGCCTCTGAGGGGTCCTGCATAATTTTTAAATGCTTTTGTGTTTGTAACTACCATTTCAAAATATTAACAAGGATACAAAACAATGGCACTTCACTAACATAAAAAATATTTTTTAATTGTAGATTCCACATTTAAAAACAAAATCCCTATTCCTGACTTCTTGAAAAGTCACAAAAGCTGACAACACTGCACATGAATCCTGCATAGTCATAGCTATCTCTACCTGAAGAGTAGCTCAATCTGAGGAGTAGCTCAATCTGAGGAGTAGCTCTCTCTGAAGAGTAGCTCACCCTAAAGAATAGAAACCCATTTATTGTCAGGCCTGCATAGCACATTTATTGCCTCTGGGGCACCAACTGGTTAGTGGTTCTCAACCAGGAGTGGTTATGCCCTTCCTCCCAGGGGACATCTGCCAACATCTGGAGACCCTGTTGGTTTTCACAATTGAAGGCAAGAATGTCAATGGAATATAGTAGAGACCAAGGATGCTGCTAAACATTCTCTAATGCACAACCCTCCATAAACATTCAAGAAACACTGTACTAAGGGCGGCCTACCAGGAATGTATGACCTCACCCCATTACCTTGACCCAAAATAGATTTGAGGAATAAGAAATCCATATACCTTGTTATAAGAACAGCAGTATCATGCTGGATTCCACCTGGATAGTTCTTTTGCCACTGGCAAAAGTTTTTTAATGTTGTCTGGGCATTAAAGGATATGGAAGGTCCTTCCTAAGTACAGAAAATAATTACGGTTGATCCATGGTAGCAACACCAATTAGATATGCCATTTCGGATATAGATAGAAGAAAGAAAAAAAACTTTATTACCTGTTCATTATGAATCACAACTAAGTTCACAATAACAATATTAATTAAATTTCCAATACTTGGGTCTTTATAGATAGAGGCTACCTGCAACCGAGATAAATTTTTCAAAGTTAATTGTGAACTCTGTGTAAGCAATAAGCAATTCACTTCTTACGCTGGGCTCGACTTCTTTTTATGTTTCATGCAACACACGCACTTTGTAGCTCTGAATTTTCATTCTTACAACATTTATTAAACGTCTATTTGTAAAATTCGTAGATGGCAGTTTTAGATAATGAATGCAAACAAGTTTAACCTTCAATGTATTTTCCTTAGAATTTGCATTGTCACACAACGTAACAGTTCTCTGTGCCAAAATGCTGGCTATTAATTTTCACTCAAGCTCTTTTATCCTAGAAGCCCTGGATTGGTGACTTATGGAATTTCACAGTGATAGTGTTTGCTAACATCGCTGCTTCCTCGTACTTCGACCCACTTGTATTCTTGATAACCTGGTAACCCTTAGCTTTTCTTGTTGTTCACTGTTACTGTTGTTAAATGAGAGCTAACATTAAATGTTTTGTATGCACTAGGTCCTTGATAATAACTGCCTATTCATTTGGATTTAATATCCACTGCAAAATTCTGATCTAGGTACTATAATCTCTGCTCTACAAATGAGGAAACTAAGGCTCAGAGCAATGAAGAAACTTGTCCAAGACTATATGACAGAGTTGCACAGTAAAAACTCTCACCTGGTGGTCAATTTGACCTAAATATAGTCTATGCTCATAATTGAAATCTTTATGACAGGTCTAGATAGAAAAGGAATTGAGACCAAAAAAGGCCTGATTCATTTTTTTCCTTTCTCTCTATCTGGACAAGGCAGGGTGGGGATGGAGGGAGGTGAAAGATGAAGACAGGAGAGGGAGGTGGGGCCAGGCTGTGTTGGGAAGTAGGGAGTACTGGGGAATGGTTCCCAGTAGTGAGGTGTTGTGACAGAAACTTTGTTGGCGCTTTGAGGTGGGAATGCGATGAGGGACAGAGCAGTCATGGAGCAGGTTTGCAAGGCAAGAGTCTGCTACTTGACCAGAAGTTCTTTTGCCACTGATTGAAAGCATAAAGTTTAATAAAAGCTGATCATGAGACAATGGTATGAGGAATGAGGTCTGGAGGGGGGATAGGAATATGGGACAAAGTTTTACGAAGGACGGAGAAGTATTTGATGTTATCACAGGCAGGGTTATCCCAAGGCCATCATGGAGACAGTCACATAATCAGGTCAACAGTGGCCCGGGATGCCCAGGCCTGCCTTATGATAGAAGCAAATAGGTCACAGTTGCCCATCAGTGGCCAGCTAGTAGCCAGCTCATAGGTATCCACAGTGAGGGGCAAGACAAGGAGAACCACGGGACAGTGGGAAGGAAGAATCTCTAAAGTAATGTTCCCAGACATGATAGTTTTTCACATCCATTTGGGGAACTTATTAAAAGTAGATTCCCAGGGCCTCCCCTGTGGCACAGTGGGTTGAGCACAGCGCTGTGAGGCTGTCCTTGGCCTCTGCAGCACTGGTTCAATTTCTGGCCAGCCAGGGAGATTCCCACATGGCGCACAGACCTCTCCTGTCTCACCCGCTGCTCCCCTCAGCAGTGTACTTCGGTCCTTCTGCCTGTTCTGCTCCCTGCTCTGTCTCTGATGAATTCTCTCACCCTCCTGCGCCTCTGGCATGTACCCCAGTGCTTGTATAAATAAATAAATCTTTTAAAAAAAGTTAAAAATTATTAAAAAAAAGTAGATTCCCAATCCAATAAATTAGGATCAAAGTGTTAAAAGGAATGCTATGCTGAGATTTAAAAACAATCAGATTAGATAATGCGGCTTGCTATAAAGCGATCTCCAATATTTCTAGAAAACAGTAATTTCTAAAACTGTACATGAGCATAATCAAAGGAGAATGTTCATGTATTTTTGGAAAAAAGTTGTATATGCATCCATATTTGCTGTAGAAATGTCTGGAATTATAATGTCCAAGATGACAGCCACTGGCCACAAGTGGACACAGAGCACCTGAAATCTGGCTAGTCTGAACTGAGATGTGCTGGGCTTCTGAAGACTTAGAATGAAAAAGTAAAGAAAAAGATATTTTTTAAATGATACCATCTGGATATCAAATAAAATAGGATATTAGTATCCACCTATTTTTTTTTTATGTGGCTACTAGAAAATTTATAAATTTCATAGGTGGCTTGTATTCTGTCTCTATTAGCGTGGTTAGAAACATGCAAAAAATACCATAATAATGGTTAACCTTGGGAAGGGGCCTGGGAGCCTGGGTACAGAAGGACACTTATTTTTCATTAAAAGACTTTAGTTCTGCTTGATTATTTTTCAAAACATTGTTTTTTCAATCCAAAATGAGAGTATCAAAATAGAGTGAGAGGCTCTTGGGCCTCACCCCAGGGGTACTTAACTAGAACCCCAGAACAGGGAGCACTTGAAAGAACCTCATGGGTGTCCCTGATTCAATACGAGCATCCAGAGTCTTACTGGATCCCCACCTGGCCATGCAAGTTTGTACATAAAAGAGGACCGGTTTTGGGAAGTGGACAAGCTAAAGGTCACATGCAGTCTCTAAGTGAGTTATTAGCTTTACGTGACCATGGACAAGTGACCTAATTCCTCTGAGCCTCAGTTTCTTCTGTATATAATGGGAATGATAATCCTACCTGGAAGAGTTGCCAGGAGGATTAGAAATGATGCCTTTTAAGTAAAAAGCACACTGTCTGACACAGAATAAACATTCAATATTGAAAGCTATTGTCATTATAAAAGACAACCATGAGTAAGTAACCTTATGTTCTCTTCAGCCAGTTGCCTGAATCCTTGAAATGCCAGCCCCGAATGATCCTCCAGAGCACAGGGTGAAAACCATTCCCCAATGACACATTTAGGGACCTTATAAATCACCTTCTTTTAAAAGTACTTACAATTGACATTAAAGTTAAAATATAGTGTTGAAGGTTTGCTCCGTGGTATAAAACCATTCTGTTGTCTGCCACCACCATCACTTCTACAAACCGTGGATAGGATAAAAAGCGTTTTGCTCTTCTGTGGGTCCCTTTTTCCCTCGTGCTATTGGTCTTGTTACCATAGGCAGAAAGCGCTTTTGTTGCTAAGCTGCTCTTCAATACTGCCACATCATCAGCCAGGCTACGCCTATCTTCCCATTTTCTTGTTCTTGCTTTCCTCTTGTCTTTAGTGTGACTATTTTTGTGTTCTGTAACAAACCAGATGGCATGCATTACATTTCAAGCCACAGCTATTTCATATTAAGTGTTTAATAAGACACATCTTAAAATGATGCCTCTGCAGTCAAATCACATACAAAATCAAGTTCTACACACTGTGGACTCTGCAGGTGAAACTCAATCTGCACTCTAAATGACGAAGGACTTGAAATCAGTTTCCCTGGAAGCATCCATTAATGGTCATTAAAGTATTAGAAATCACACATGAATTTAAGGGAAACAAGTGCATATGATTCTTTTCATTTGGAAACATAAATCTTGCTGGGATTTAAGCAGTTACCCTTCATTGTTCTTTGCCATAGATACAGTAATGGTCACAGAGCTCTAGAGAATGGAAATGGAGACATTTAATATATACTACTTTTGATATTCATTTAAATACAGTTAAAAGAGGTCTGAGAGGTGCGACAGGTTAGCAGACAATGCAAAGGAACTACAGAAAATGCATTGCAAGGTATTATTCTATTATTATTCTCAATTATTGTAATGTATGAATAAATAGTAGCACTGCTATTCAATACCTCTGGAATTTTCATTAATTTAATTTCAGGGTTCAGTTAAGGAGATAGATTAAATGCAGAGAGTATGAACCGGCAGCATCTGGGACTGAGATGTATATCAGATTGGCTCTACTCATTTCTGACTCTTGTCTAGGTTCTTAGTCTCTATACTGTCTTACTCCTCAAAGTGTGGCCCAGGGAGCAGTAGCATTGGCAACACTTAGAAGTTTGTCAGAAATGCAGATTCTGGCCACACTCCAGACCTGATGAATTAGAATCTACATTTTAACAAGATCTCCAAGTGATCTGCATTTATAGTAATGTTTTGAGAAGTACTATAGTGTCTCCAACTTGGACTGAAGTTTATATTGCTGGTGACAATACTCAGTTTCAAAGTTATCAACTATACAATAAAAAGAAGATTAAAAGTGACTACCAAAATACATTTTGAGTGAAAAAATAGAATTTAATCAGTTTTCTTGCCATCAACTCATCGACATGATTTAAAACTTTAATGCCACCAGTTTGTAGTTTAAAACACAGGAAACACAATTGTATAACTAAGAAGTATTATCCCTGGCCGGCCGGGGATCAAACTCTTGCTTCAGTGGCTGGCGATAGCTTGACAGTGCTCTCTTTAACCCCTGTGCCACCAGGGAGACCACATGGCGCAGCAGACCTCTCCTGCCTCGCCTGCCTGCTGCTCCCCTCAGCAGTGTGTTTCAGTAGATCTTCCTGTTCTGCTCCCCACTCTCTCTGGTGAATTCTCTCATCTCCTGTACCTCTGGCTTACACCCCAGTTCTTGTATGCAAAAATAAAAAAATCCTTAAAAAAATTTTTCTCCTAAGACATACAGAATTAATTAATCCAATAATAGCATAACAAAACAAAAATTATAAGAGTAAATATCTGACCATTATAGCCAGTTGATGAAACAATCAATTTTGTTCAAGTACAGTGATTCAATAACTGTTAAAATAGTACAATCAGAGCAAACCATCAAGTTTTATGTGGTCCAGCTATAGACAACATCACTAGTTCAACTTGTGTTTCATCGTAGGATTCAGTATTAGATTCTTTTTCTTTCAGTCTTTTTCTCAAGCATATTCATACATGTGTACTAATACCATTTGAGAAATTTGGCTGTCATTATAATTTTCAATCAGCCAATGATTATAGAATAGATACTAATCAAGTACTCATTATGGACCAAGTATTGAACTAGACATTCTTATGAATGTTACCTTATAATTTCTCTCAGACTGACAAAATTATCTCTATTTTACACATGAGGAAAATAAGTCTCAAAGATATTAAGTAATTTATCCAATGCCACATTGCAGGAAGGTATGAGAAATCTGGTATGAATTTCATCAACACCCTAAATAGTGATCTTACTATTAGGTAAAACTTCTCAAGAGGCGAGGACTGAAATGGGCTCACAAAGAATTTAAATTGGGGAAAAAAATTGACTGGAGGGTATTTTCACACAGACAGCTTTTTGTAGTAGGTATATGGAAGTATGTTGAAAATTGAAATTTTTTAATACATGCCACTTTTTTTTAAATAAAAAATAATCCTTGTTCAATGCCTTCAGAAAATATTTTAATATATCATAATCTGTAAAATATTACAGATTTTTAAGTAGTTTTTCTATTCTCCATTTCATTAATTTCTGCTCTAATCTTTATTATTTCCTTTTTGTCTTCTTGTTTTAGACTTAATTTTCTCTTCCTTTCTAGTCAGTGTTTTAAAGTAAATGGTTAGATTATTATTTGAGATGTTTCTTTCTTCTTTTTTTTTTTTGTGGGACCCTCGCTGGTGGCCGGGGATTGTGTTTCTTTCTTCTTAAAATAGTCGTTTATAGCTCTATGGTGGCATAACCCTGCTTTAGCTACATGTCCTATATTTTGGTATGTTGTAGTTTCACTTTCATTAACCTCAAAGTATTTTCCAACTTCTCCTCTGATCTACTGTTTACTTAACACAAATTTCTGAGCTTCCAATATTTTTTTTTCTGTTAATAATTTTATTCCATCATGGCCAGAGAAGAAACCATGCATTACTTCTATCCTTTAAAATTTACTGATTTGGGCCCCTCTGGTGGTACAGTGGGTTGAGCGCAGCGCTGTGAAGCTGCCTGCAGCCTCTACAGCGTAGGTTCAATTCCTGGCTGGCCAGAGAGATTCCCACATGGCATGGCAGACCTCTTCTGTCTCGCCCACTGCTCCCCTCAGCAGTGTATTTCGATTGTCGGCCTGTTCTGCTCCCCGTTCTGTCACTGGTGAATCCTCTCACCCTCCCGTGTCTCTGACCTGTACCCCAGGGCTTGTATAAAAAAAATAAATCTTTAAAAAAAATTTACTGATTTTTTTTTTTTTTACAGACTACCATATGTCTATTCTAGAAACTTTCAATATGTACCTTAGAAGGGTGCTTATTCTACTACTACTGGATAGAGTGTTTTATAGATAAATGTTAGTGTAGTTAGTTTAGAGTATTGTTCAAGATCGTTATTTCCTTGTTGACCTGTTTGGATATTCTATCCATTATTGAAAGTGGAGTATTGAAATTTTGAACTATTATTATCAATTTCCAACTACTATTATTATTTTCTCCTTCACGTGTGGTCTTCATTTCTGTAAGTTTTTGCTTCATGTATTTTGGCGCTTTATTCTGAGGTGTACATATGCTTCTAATCTTAATATGCATTGACTTTTCATTCATTATAAAGTGCTTTGATAAACTTTATCAGTAAAGTGAAAAAAAAAACTTTATCAGTAAAGGAAAATGTCAGTTTGTGAAAAGCAAGTAATACTTAATGACTTCTGTAAATATTAAATTTTGATATAATTTATTGTTTTATTTAGAAAAAAGTATATCTACAGTAAAAGCAAAAAATACTCAGGAAATGCTATACAAAATTCATTCTTTTGACCAGTAACAGGTAAAAAATGCATTCTCAGAGAATCATCAAAGGCTATTTGAGCAAGGAAAACCTGAGGGTGAATCAAAACACTAACTGGGAAAAACATTTTTGTTCAAATAACAAAGTAGGAGATACTAAGACTAATCATTATAAAGCTACAGTTTCTAACAGAAAAACCCATGTGAATTGTAATGCACCTGGAAGATATTTATTCACAAGTAACCTGTGCATGAAAGAAATAATTCAGGACACTTTATGTGCATACTTAAATTACTTCTTCAGAATCTAAAGCAACAATTAGTATATACTATTTCCTGGTCTTTTACCCATCTGACCTTTCCCGCTAAAGAATGAAATCATATTTATTGAGCTAATAAGCCCAATTAATTTCTATCACATTAATCATTTTGGCAAGCAATTTTAAATTTAGCATAAATAGTAGTATGAACTTTAAAGATTCAAATATCACAATGACTACAAATACATGGATATTCTCATGGAGAATCAAAAAAAAGTAAGATATTATAACCTATAAATCTGCTCAACTCTCTTGCCTCTGAATAGAATATGCAATAAAAGAATGATTTCCACCAAATGGACACATACTGTTAGGATAATAAGAGAACATTCACATTTCTCTTTAATGACCTTTTAACATAATGGGATTTATGTTAGTGTTTCAAATTTGCAATTTGCTAGTAGTTTTATCACATTGGCCTATATAATGAAGTTTTACCCTTGGGGAAAACACAGTAGAATAGGGTCTGTGTATTTTGCTTTTCTTTTTTCCCCCACACATAGCTTTATATTTTCATTATGTTTAATTGAGATCTAAATTAACTAACAAAAATTCATTCTTTCAAAGTATACAATTCAGTGGCTACTAGCATATTCAAAGTTGTGTAACTATTGTCATATTCTAAATTTAGGGGAGTTCACTGTCCTAAAAGGAACCCTGCACCAGTTAACAATCACACCCCATTTCCACCTTCCTCCAGTCACTGGCAATCATTAAAGTTTTTTAATACATGGACTTCCCTATCCTAGCATTTCATACAAATGGAGTGAGACATCTTTCACGTAGCATAATGCTTTTAAGGTTCATCATCACTGTAGCATGTTAACAGTACTGCATTACTTTTTATTGTCAACTAATATCCCACTTTATTGATACACCACATTTTGTTTAATCATTCATGAATTGGTGGACTATTTGGTCCCAAATTCCATTAAAAATACTGCTATAGGGTCTCCCCTGGTGGCACAGTGGTTGCGCGCTGGGCTTCGAAGCTGCTCGCAGCCTCTGAAGTGCCGGTTCGATCCCTGGCTGCCAGCGATGGTCCCACATGGCACAACAGACCTCTCCTCCCATGCCCGCTGCTCCCCTTAGCAGTGTATTTCATCAGTCTGCCTGTTCTGTTCCCCGCTCTGGCTCTGGTGAATTCTCTCACCCTCCCGCACTTCTGACTGTACCCAGTGCTTGTATAAATAAATAAATAAATCTTAAAAAAAAAAATACTGCTATGAAGATATGTGTCC